GAAGATTCCGCCTTTTGTGATGGATGTACTACACCTCTCGAATCCAGGAAGACACTGAAATAAACAATGTCTGCGCATACGCTAGACCGAGTCGGGACGGCCCCGTGTCGACCTGTGTGAACGCATCCATAAGAGACCATGGTGTTCAAGAGGTCGAGTACGGCGCGACGCCGGGTCGTCGCTTGAAGAAGGTCGTGATGTCCTTGGCCGCCGTGGCGCCGTTGTAGATACGTGTGAACAGTTGCATTTACAGCAATGCTATTGAATAAACACGCCGTCGTGCCGTACACGGCGCACGGCAGAAAGTCGATACGTGTGAACGAGGCCTAATACTGCTAGGAATGTTAAAGATAAATCAATTCAAAATATTCTGATAAAAAAAGAACTAAAAACTACAGTTCCTAAATTACTTTAAATTTAGTAAATTTGAAGTCATTGAAACTAAATGTCATTATTATCATAATTCGAAAAATCACAAATGTCAGTAAAACTATATGGGATATTGTAAATAGGGAAGTTGGAGCAAATCATAAATCAAGCCATGGTGAAATTTTAGGTTTACCATATATTAAAGCCAATAAATGCATAGACATAGAAGAGGTCTGCCATCTCTTCAATGATTACTATAATACAACGATAGTTGAAAATGACATATTGTCCAAACTAAAATCTTCTACTGGTTCAAAAAAATATTATTTCACCCTCCAGAAAGTTTATATCAAAATTCAGTCCTTCACCAATTACTTATGAAAAGCTGGACAACATTATAACTTCTTTTGATAATAGATTTTCTACTGGCTGGGGTAAATACCAATGCCAATAACTAAACAGGCTCGTTTATATATATTACTAGCAGAGTACCCGTCCTTCATACGGGGTTGGAATATAAGTATAAAATGCTTATTGCAGTTAGTTATACTCAAGCTTTGCGTTTGCAATGAGGGAGGAGACAGTTTGATAAAATTTGTTTTTTTAAATTTACAGTACCTATTCTATAGTATTACACATCTACCATTGCCATAATGTTCTACCACTTCACCAAAACAACAGAGAAAAATAAATTATCAACAATTCGCAAAATATCACAAATTATTCATGAAATGAAAAACATAAACATAACTGTAAACAATCCTACTTTGACAGTTCTCATTGCGAATCACAGTTTTTTGTTGCTGCTTAGTTCAAATTAGCTGTTTTCATAAATGCAAAAAAATATAGTGCTGCACCCTGTTGGTAAATCTTATAACTTTTTAATGCTTTTCCATATCATAGAACGAACTTTTTTAGTTGAAACAGCTGACTAAATTCTTTAATTCCCATTAAATATGAATACTCATAAGGTTAACATGGGGAATTACAGAGCCACTGGGGCGGAGCCCAAAAGGATTTTTGAGATAAGAATATGCCTATATGTTAATCGGGAATTTCAGCTATAATCATGCCAAATTTCAGCCCAATCCGTCCAGTGGTTTATGCGTGATTGAACTTCAAACACACAAACAAACAAACAAACAAACACACAAACTTTCACATTTATAATATTGGTAAGATTACCATTACTACAAGTTATAAACTGTTCTTTCATCTCTGGAATTTTTCCTGAAAATTAAAAAAAAATCTAAAATTGAACCTTGTTATAAAAATGGTTACCCAGAGGAAATGTGTAATTACAGGCCTACTTCATTGTTATGCTAAATTTCCCAAACTTTTGTGCAAGTTATGCATATACAAATTTCAACATTCTTAGAGGAAAATAATTAATAGATAAAGAACAACATGGTTTTAGAGAAGGAAGGTCTGTGATTGACACATGATTTGATTTCTGTGAATCTATAATTAATTAAATTGATTCAAAGGAAAAAGTCGTTGGAATATTCTTGGACTTAACAAAAGCCTTTGATAGCGTTTCACATGATTTACTTCTTGATAATCTTAAATGTATAGGTGTAAAAGGGGGAGCTTGGCTTTGGTTTGAATATTATCTTACAGGCAAACAGCAGTATGTTGTAATTGATAAATAGAATAGCCATAACCAATTAATTACTTACATTTCCTCAACAAAAGTTGTTAAGTATGGTCATAGACAAAAAGAATTAAATATAGACCGTCAGCTGTGCTGCGGTTACCATAGGTTCTGGTACACACCACTGGCAGCGCCATGTAGAGACGGCGTACGCACTATGTAACTACACTGCGCTCCCAGCGGTGGTAAAAATCTATGGTAAACATGGTAACCGCAGCACGGCTGACAGTCTATATTTAATTCTCTTTGTCTATGGCATGGTGTCCCTCAAGGATCAATATTGATTGGGGCCCCTATTTTTTCAGGGCCGGATTTCCCAATAGGCCCGGTAGGCCTGGGCCTATGGGCGCAAGGTCCCAGAGGGCGCACGGCCAGGAGAAAATTTTTTTTTTTACCTAGGCTATCTAAAAATAATCATACCGGTAGTTGATAAAAAAAAACTCCAAAGCATTGTGATTCTGAAGTTCATAAGAAGAAATAATTGTTAGGAAATTTAAACTAGTTTAAATTAACGAACATTGGTTATATGGGAGTAGGCTGTAGGGATGTTGACGTTGACGAGCGCCCAAGGGGTACGCATCGTATTGCCACTGCACTGCCACTATGTTGGCTAGGGATCAGAGTGATTAGGGGCGCACGCGTGCTAGACATTGTTACCATCCTAGAAGAAATATAACCTAGATGCAACTCAAGGATATAACTCAAGTCGACTTCTTATGACATTGTTAATTCAACATTTTGTTCATGTTGGTGACACTGGACGTTAGTTTTGACGTAATTTTGTTTCTATTATTTGAGGGTTAGTTCTATGATGTGTGTTTTAATTTCTTGTAATATAAAAAGGAGACGACCTATTGTTGATGATTAGATCGTTTTATTTTGGATAAACTAGGTTTAAACATAGATAAATCATACTCATTAAATAACAAGAATTGTTTATGCTAATCCAAAATTATGACAAATCTACTAAAGAAGTATGTTTAATCTATGGTATCACGCACTGTATGGAGTTCATGTTTTTGGGCCTGGAATTGGAATCAATGGCCATGTTTTTTTGCAGGAATGCTCGGTGGGTTGAGTTGTTTTGTTTCAGTCGCACGGCCACAAACGTGAGCATTTATTAAAAACATAAAATTGCTAAAAATGTTTAGACGGCATTTTGTTAAGCCTAAACAAGTCAATTCTTAAAAATAAAAAACTTGCAATGATCCCAACAAGGAGTGGTATTCAAGCAATTAACTTAGGCCTATGGGCATGATGTTATAGTTTTTAATAAAGGTTTGAAGGAAAGTAACTGTGACCAGCAGCCTAGGGGGCGGAAAATTATTTGGGCCTAGGGGCGCAAAAATGCTAAATCCGGCCCTGTATTTTTTCTTAATTTACTTGACTGACTTTCCCTCATTGATAGAATCTCCAAATCATGTTTGTTTATTTGCTGATGACATCAATATAAAAATGTCCGGTAATTCAAATTCTGACGAGGAAGTCTCTTCTTTTGTTGACTTTCCAAATGTATTAAACATTTAAATGAAATCCATTTATTACCAAATGCAATAAAAACTAATTAGCCTATTTCAATTTTTCTTCAACTAGCAAAAATGCAGCTGGGTTAAATATTTTTATGGATACAATTTTATTAATGAAGTTAAAACAATAAAATTTCTTGGTTTGCGTTTAAATGATAAATTTAACTGGGACAGTCATATTGAAAACGTTTGTAAAAAGTCACTTCAGGCATATATGCATTAAGACAGATGTCAAAATTTAGTAATCTAAAAACCTTAAAAATGGTATATTATTCCTTAATTGAATCACACAGTTCTTTTAGGTTGTGTCTTTATGTGGGCACATACAATTTTAATCTAAATAGCATTCTGGAACATAAGAAAAAAAAATCGCCTCATGTTAAAACTAAAATCAAAAGAATCCACTAAAGAGCACTTTAAAGAAATAAGAATCATGACTGTTTTCAGCTTATACATTTATCAAATATAGCCCTTTATATTAAATCAAATCATCATTGAGCTGCGACATAATCGGCAGCACGATACAATTCAGATTGCCAAAATTGAACTCTTTTCATAAGTATTTGACCAGAAAAGGTAGTAATTTGGCATTCAACAGACATGATACATAATTTATCGGTTTACAAGAAAATCCCATCTGTTAGTGGTGTTAAATATTTCAATAGCTTACCTGACAATATAAAAAATATACCGTAACAAATTTTTATTCATTTAAAAAACATTGGAAATTATTTCTCACTACAGACCCTTGAAAATTAGAACATTTTTTTCCAACTTCCTGAAATTTGATTGATTGATGATAACAATATTCTCTGTAAAGTAGTTTAAGGTTTAATATAGTTTTTTTTTAGTTATAACAATAACTGACACCATTCTGTACACAATATGTGCAATATGATTAATATGAATATTAAGTTATTTTGATTGATTGACACTGATCATGTCTTTTCCCACTACCGGTAGGTAGTAATAAATCATCAAATGGAGTTAAAGAAAATCTGAAATAATGATTTTTAATCTCTTTTCCTTTACACATACTTATTCTAGCGACTAGACCATAGGAAAACACCCAAGGGTTGCTTTGTATACTATTCAATTGTACATGGCCTAAACAAATTTTGCATATTTGTTTAGCACTACTATCCTAAACTCAAAGCACCACACACACACGTTGTATAGGTCACTATGTAGGCCTATTGCAAAATCATTACTTTTAATTTTTTTCTTGTTGTCTACGCCCGTGGCATTTTTTACAGAAGGTATTGCAGAGTACTTGCAGTATTTACTTTTAAACCCTTTTAGAGCAAGCAATCCAAACCCATATGTTTTGTGGATGCCAGGAATCGAACCCGGTCCTCCGTTAAGATTTTTGGCCTACATAGCTGGGATCAACTAGAAAGAACATAAACACATTAATTTATAGATTGACAGAATAGTAAAAAGTTGTTCACCTTTAAGTAGTTCAACAGCGACATAATCAGCAGCACGATACAATTCAGCCTTCAAGAGGCACTGAAGCAACACAGAAACAGTTGGTCGACATTTACCACTAGTGCTCCATTCCTCAAGAAGTATTTCCGAAAAGGGACGTTTTTGGCACATTCCTGCGTTTTCAATTAACCTATAAAAAAAAAATTTAAACTAGATCAAAGCTTGTTAGCGATTTATTGAACTGTTTCTTAAACCTATGAGAGTTCAATTTGAAACTAGTTTAACTTACCGCTATATAGCCTATTATCAGTCAACTCATAACAAAGGCTTAGGCATCGTAACAAAAATGTTCCTTTACAAAAATCGTAACAATGTCAATAGCGTTAAGAACTCAAATAAGTTTACTAAACTTAGTCTATAAGTAACAAATCTATATGCTAAGTGGCAAAATGTATATTAATTGATATAGGCCTTCTAGTCTATCTATAGCTAAGTTATTTGCATTAGATCTACAGTAATAACTTATTTATTTATTTATTTATCTACAGTTCAACGGTGCAACACCAATTTACAATTGAAAGCAAATTTGTATGGCTAACAAGAGAAGTTGATAATAACATACAATGCTAATACAAAACGATGCCTAATATCATAGACAAAAATAGACAAAAAAAAACCGTCAGCTGTGCTGCGGTTAGCAGAAGTTTTGGCGTTCACCGCTAGGTTTGCCGTGTAGTTGCCGGCGCACACCGCTGCAGCATATGCTGGTCGCAAACGGCTCCTGCGCTCCTTGCCTGCAGCAATGAGTGCCGTAACTACACGGCAAACCTAGCGGTGGGCGCCAGAACCTTCCTTTGACAGTCTATATTTATCCTATTTGTCTATGCTAATATGGACTGTACACAGGAATATTGAAATGAAAACATGCAGGAACAACTTTGCCGCAGTGACAGTACATGCATAACACGATGACAAGATATATGAGACGGATTCACAAAATGATTCAAAAGAACATGGGTGCAAGCTAATAATAAATGCAAAAATGACAATGTTAACAAAACAATAATGATGACAGGACTGTATGATCTGGTGCGACAGCAATGTATGTAAATAATAAGGCAATAGACTAAACTACAAAAAAATTTTTTTATGTAAATGCCTGAATTTCAACAATAGCTCTACAGAACTTTACAACAAATGTATTACTAGCACAGGTTACAACAATGCTTTGAGACAAATGTCTCATGTATGCAATATTAACACTCTCAAATCAATCTATTTTGCTCTGATCAACTCGCATATGGCTTATGGTATTGCTATATATGGCGGGACTAGCAATAAAAACCTTAAAAAAATTCTGAAACAGCAAAAGAAAGCATTACGAATTATCTTTAATATAAAAAATAGAAAATCCACAAAACCATACTTTTCCAAATTAGGAATCATGACAGTTTATGACCTATATACAGGGTGGCTGAAAAGTAACTTGCACCCCCCCTTAACTTTTCAACCATTTGAGATATTTGAAATCGGTTTGCGGCAACCTTCTTAGATATGAGGGGCTACAATAATTATGGTCAATTTGGAAAATTTTGCCCTTAGGGGTAGCGGGGGTAGGGGGTAGCTCAAAATGTTCAAATGACAAGTATAGTCGAGTTTGGTATCATTTTACAGGTCTTGACGAAACATAAACATTGACATAAAGAAAACCAAAATCGGCTCGAGTTTGGTATCATTGTTTTGGTCTTGACGAAACATAACAATTAACATAAACAAAATAGAAATCGGAGCATTAAAAACAAAATGGCAGCTAAAAATGATTGAAAAAATGGTTATTTAAAGTAATTTTGAACTGCCATTTTGTTATTAATGGTCCGATTTCTATTTTCTTTATGTTAATTGTTATGTTTCGTCAAGACCTACAAAATGATACCAAACTCGACTATACTTGCTATTTGAAAATTTTGAGCTTCCCTCTACCCCCGCTACCCCTAAGGGCAAAATTTTCAAAACTGACCATAATTATTGTAGCCTTTATATCCAAACAAGTTGCCGCAAACCGATTTCAAATATCTCAAATAGTTAAAAAGTTAAAGAGGGTGCAAGTTAAATTTTTTTCCACCCTCATGGTTATTTGGATTTGAAACGTTTTAAGGCACCTTTTTGTTATTAGTGAGCCGATTTTGGTTTTCTTTATGTTTATGTTTCATCAAGACCTGTAAACTGATACCAAACTCGACTATACTTGTCATTTGAAAATTTTGAGCTACCCCCTCCCCCCGCTACCCCCAAGGGCAAAATTTTCAAAATTGACCATAATTATTGTAGCCCCTCATATCTAAGAAGGTTGCCGCAAACCGATTTCAAATATCTCAAATGGTTGAAAAGTTAAGGGGGGGGTGCAAGTTACTTTTCAGCGACCCTGTATATTTGAAACCATTTTACATGTAAAAAAATTAAACACACAAAAATACAGTAAAAAATCACATACATACAACTTGAGAAATAACAGATATATAGAACCGCATAAATTACAGATTTTTGAAAATAAATAGTTATTTGTGCAACTAGTGAGAAAAGTGAGCAATTGACTCACTCGAGAGAAATTCTTACTCACGAGCCGTAGGCGAGTGAGGAATGGTTTCTCGAGTGAGGCAATTGTACTTTGAACTCGAGTTGCACATTATACTTTTCCTACAGTTACCATAAAACAAATAAATTGGTGAAGAAACATAACCTATGATTACACAGAAGTGAACTTTTAATATAACATTTAACGTGAAGTGACAAATACAACAGTACAACAGCTGACCAGCTGATTTACAGCCAGTGCTGCCAACGTATTTCGCGCGCATACGACGTTGCCTGCATGTTACGCGCTCACTATTTCGTGCCTTCACGTTGCAAATCTGGAGTGAGACAAAGTAATTAGAGTGAGACAATGTGATGAGCGAATTGGCCACTTTGCTTTCTCAAATCAGTGAGAGAACATGTACATTGTTAGGTAACTGTAGGAAAACAACTTTTATTGGTAGGTACTAAATTTCTTTATAATCTACCTAAGAATATTCTTTGTGAAGAAAAATATACCAGTTTCAAAACCCGCCTTAAAGAATACCTATTGACTCATCCTATCTTTTCAAGTAAAGATTTTTTAAATTCAAGGAATGTAAAATAAAAAAAAAAAGAATTATTAGTGTCGTTGTCATACAACAACATAAAACAGTTTTATTTGCAACCATCATATTTTAATTAAGGACATTAGTTATAAGAAATGTGACTCTATTCAATGTATTCATGTAAATACAAAAAAATGAATAAAGATTATTTGATTTGATTTGATTTGAACAACAGCTATTATTTCCCCTCAAGGAGTACTAAGGCTAGAGAAAAGCTGTCTTCAGACGTCGGCTGCTGTCGTGGAAGAAGTCGTAGTCCGCCGAGATCAGGTTTCCGAGCCTGTGCAGACGCGGTATGGTGCTATTTAAGTCATAGTTTGTAGAGCACGAGGTATGGCAGAAGAGATCAGTGAAGCGGGTTCGGCCAGGAACTCTAAGGTTGAGTATTCCAGTGAGATCAGGAGAGTCCAGCTGACCAACGAGAATCTTCCGAAGAAAGACCAAGTTGTGCATCTGCCTTCTCACCAAGAGGGTACTCAGGCCCAGTGACTCCTCTACATGCTGGAGCGGCACATTCAGGTAGTCGTAGCCAATCTTCACTCCCACGACATGCACGAACCTGTCCTGGATCTTTTGGAGTCTCTGGATCAGTCCAAGTTGATAAGGGGACCACACGACACTTCCAAATTCCAGCACAAATCGCACCAGAGAAGTAAAACCCGTCTTCATGGCTTCAACACTGAAACCTCGCCTTGAAGTTCTTATGATGAATCCCAGCATCTGAGACGCCTTTGACACAATTGAATTTTAGAGATTACCAGGGCTGAAGTTGCTTGTCAGGATTACTCCCAGATCGCCGACCAATTCAACCCTCTCCAATGTAGATCAGTCCAGTCAATAGTCAAAGCAGATGAATGAAGACAAACGATGAAAGGTAATTATCTGACACTTTTTGGGGATAAACTTCATGCAGTTCTGGGCGTACAATTCACAGATCCTCTGCAAGCAGGTTTGCAGTCTATGGCAGTCTTCGATGGAAGCAACAGAGGAGTAGATTTTATATCAGGGACATTCAGCATCAGGGATGATTCTATCAATGATATCGTTTAATAAGATACAGAAGAGAAACAGATCAAGATGAGAACCTTGAGGTAGCCTATAATTGCCCAACAACTCATCTTTGTTCAGAACACATGTAGGGCATTTTTGCTAATTTTGGGCTGATGGGAGGAGGATGATTAACTGTGAGTATGCCTATGAATATTTTGACAATAGACAATAGATTTTATTCCTTTAAGCATAGGCTACAGATAATGCAATAGGACAAGTAAAGGAATGGACATGATAACTTTAGATAGGCTACATAGAGTTGAGACACATAAAACAAAATAAGAACGGTGACAACAAATAAAATACCGTAAGTTTAAGTCACTTTCAGAACAAAGCGGATCACAAATTTCAGACCATGTGCAGAAAATGGGACTGAAAAATGCTTGACAGAAAGTGGCCAAGTTAAAATCTTTTACATTAATTAGCTACCGGTACTTAACTTAGGCCTAGGAGCCTTAAAGTGTGGGGTGGGTTCATTAAGTTAAATGATTCCACGTTTAGTCCATGCCAAGTTGGCCTAGCAAAATATGGAAATGGCCTGGTTATGAATACAAAATACAATGTCTATAGATTAAAAAATAAAATTTCATTTTTATATGTTCAATGAAAATGAAATGATTTTTATGTTCGATGGAGGATGGATGCTTCCTCACTCAATCTCCATGTAGGATATGATAAGTAAATTAGGATGTATAGTTTTAACAATTCTTTACTTACCTACCGTTTCTAAGTTGCTAAGTTATCTTAAGTTAGCTAAAATAAATTTTTAATAAACTCAGCGATAACCGGATGAATTGGAGAAGATTTAGTGACTTACCGTACTAAGAATTAGAGAAGAGTGAGGACTACGAAAGTACTGGTAAGCCCAATACTACACCTGCTAAGCCCCCCCCCCCCTCAGATGATAATGTACTGTAATAGGTTTTGCCTAACTTAAATTACCTTATTTCCGGTTCTTCATCTTATACCCCATGGGAGATTGATGGTGTCATTTTAAACATAAAATCATTTACGTATGTATACAAATTACAATTAAATTACATAGGTAATAAATTACGAAAACACATCAAACTAACAGGCCTAACTTACCAATAGGTACTTCACAAGGGTAATTTAAACTCCCTTTCTCCTCAATTATTTTTTAATACTTACTTCATATGTTCAACTGTGTATTTTGGTGGATTCCCCTCTTGACATGAAATTGGTATTGCAGCCATCAACTGTCTCCATCCATCACCACTCTCGAGAATTTGACATAGTTTAAAAGTTGAGCCTGCAGGTAATTTTCTTATTTCCACATCTTCATTGCTCACTTTAGTCATTTTCAAGGTTGGATACAAAAACCAAGACCAAGATATTTACAGAATGGCCAAGCCCTGTTCAATAATAGATGAATTAAAACTAGCCTATGAATAGGGAAATATAAAATAAGCAGTAAATGAATAACTTTTAGGTTTTTAACAAGTTAATGTTGCAGTTTGGTTGGTTTAATTAATTCTGAAGTTAAATTTCATCAAAGTAAGTTAAAGGACATATCATATAGATAATAATATGAAGTGGTTGAGATAATTAATTGTAAAACAGTAACTTAGGCTTTAGTAAAAGAAAAGCTTTTTGGGCTTGCATAACCTAAAACTCGCGAGAAAAACTTTTGAAGTAGGCACTGAGGTAATAAAAGGACACTATGGTAGAAACTAAAACAATTTAAGATAAATGTACAGAACTCTGACGATTAAGCATAGGAATCTCCACTCAAACTTGTTTTTGGTGAGTATTGTTGAGTTAGTTTGGGATAAACTTCAATGCCAATGCAATCTTTCTTTATAAATAACACTTCTTTATAATCTCAATAACGGCTGAACATATTTTAGCCAAACTTACCAAGGTTGTTTTATAATGTTATAACCAATTTAAATTTTTGATAATGCCTGTATTTTAAAGTAACTCAAAGTTTTGATGGTTACAAAATAACGACGTGACGTAAATAAATGTAAACAAAACAAAGAATCATAGCATTATGTAAAAAAATCAAGCCACGGCCTAAACACAGTACAAAGGAAAAATCTGGATTATGACAACTAATCAAATGATACAGAGAAAGTCTTACATTTAACTAGCAATTTGGAAACGTGATCGTATAGGTATGTCATAGATAAAACATACTTTCTTATGTACAGTATTTAACCATGGTATTTAACAGATTTGGGGTACACTTCCATATCTGTTCCTGTTGGCACAAACAACCGAATGCAAATATCGGTCGTTGTGTCGAATAAAAAAACCTTACATATTTAATTAAACGATATATCGATTGATATTTTCATTCGGTTGTTTGTGCCAACAGATATTATGGAAGTGTACCCCATCGATGTATAATACATCGATGGTGTACCCGTACCCCAGATTTGGTTCTCTTTCTCGAAACGCTATAAAGAGCACATACAGTATAAAAGAAGACCACCTCAAAACTTAACCTTTGCTGAACATCTCTAGTTTCATATCAGCATAATAACAGCAGCATTGATGAAAACATGGAAATTTTACATACGTCACAAGATAAGTTTGAAATATTAATTAACACCCTGGAAGAATTCGATATAATATATATTATATAGAGCCGTAAAATCAGACAAGGATAGTGTTTTAAATGGTCAACTTTATTTTAATTATTTAATTTAAATATCATCTACAACACCGCAGTAAAATTACTGAAGGAGGGGAAGGGAGGGCAGAGACAATGGAACGAGGGAGTGATAAGGGAATGCGTGTGATACCAGAACAGCTGTGTATCCTACATTGTGGACTCAACTTCCGCATTACCAATACACCGGTCTACTTGTCATGTTTACAATTTTATTTTATCGTCCGTATTTGTGTGTGCACTATGTGTTTGTGTACGTGTATGTGTATAAAACTGTTAATCCTGACGACCTTCATGTGAAGTAACCATCCTTGTACACACCTGATGATGACCTCTTACCAGGTCGAAACTAGTTGTGGAATACAACAATTGAATTGCCAGAATCAGGTATTACCACAATTTTATTAGTTATCCTTGCAATCCCCAGGCTATTCATACTACGAAGTTAGAAGCAGCTCAAGCAAGATCAGCCTTTCAGTTTACATCAAGGATAAAATTACCTATGCAAAACTATAGAGATAAGATGTAAGAGATATAAATTTAAAAAGTTAGTGGGAAGTCTAAAGCGCTGCCATATACATTCACATTCACACCATCCATTATCACAAAAGCATACGATTGTTTTGTAAATGGATTGTTGCCATCCCAATTAGCGAGGATTTCAATGAAGAAATAAACATTATTAAGCCTATCATATTGGCACTACAATTAAGGCGTAGATATTGTTGGGTTTTGACTGCCCCTTTGTAACATACTATAAAACACGGGAACGAACTATGATATAAAAACTTAAAACTTATTGAAACCACTGTCTTTTCATACGTAAAGTAAACTTCTAGTATGGGCATAGGAATTAACTTTTTTTTTAGGGGTGCGGTAATTATCTTGTTCCAGGGGTCAGAGGAAATTACCACCTATAAAAAAGTTTACACAAATTGCTTAAAAATAAAATGTTGGCTGTATAAAAGCAAGAATTATCATTAAATACAGTTTAAAACATATATGTTTATAGCTACAAATGTTGCGTGTTTGAAACCCTACAGAGTATTGTAAATTTAATATTTGAATTGTTCAGGGGTTTGTAAATAAATAAATAAAAGGGAAGAGTATATCTACCAGTGGCCCTAACTTGTTTTAATACAGTGGAGTCTTGATAATCCGATCTTTGGTTATCCTGCGGACGATTGAATACTGTTCCTGTGAAATAACGTAAAAATATGTGTGGGATGTGGGGTACCGTAGCAGGTACAAAAAGACAACCCCATTCGCTACATTTCTGATTATTCTTGCTATGGTAAACTACTCCAAACTGCTCCATAGGTAGATATAATTTGATATATTTTAATAAAAATACTGCAAAGTATTTAAAAGTACCACTAATTATCAAGAAAATTAAATATTTCAAATACAGAAATACAGGAAAAAATTACAAAAAAATGTATACAGTACCTAACTACAAAAAATTATACCTAACTAAAAAAATTTAAATAAAAAATGCAGAAAAAATAAGTAAAGTACATGCATACCTACCAATAAAAATATGTAATAATGTGTAATGTTGAACAAATTTTAACCTATTTCAAGAGGTTCTAACCCGCGAATTCACGGGTGTACAGAAGACACCATTAAATTAATTTAATCAACTTTGACTTAATATTTCATTTAAAGGTCCCAAGTTCGAGAAATTGTCATCTGAAAGGATGGTAAAAGCAGTGGAACCTTCATACCTTATGTCCTAAAGTGTCCGAGGTCGGTTTGGTACCTGAACTCGCCGCTCTCTTTCACAACGTCTTTAATATTTTAATACTTTTCAATGAAATGGCGACCTGTTTAAGATCGGTGACAACCTCTTGGAACAAACAACATACATGGTTTGTTAATCACATATTCATTGTGTTTTGAACACCTTTAATCACTCACTTGTAACAAACAGCTAGAAATAGCTTCACTGTCAATTCACCACACCTCTCAAAGAACATAAAAGTACCAAGTAAACAAAAATGTAAACAAACAAACTATATTGTCAAATGCATTGGCCAGCTGTTTTGTTCACCAAATTAATCGAAAAACGTTAACTTCCAAAACATTATAGAAGGCGTATAGCCCCTTGGAAATCAGCCTGTGGGGCAGAGCCCTTAGGGAGTTCATCTAAATCAATACTTTTCGGCAAATCTACACACTATAAGTTTCATTTTGATATGCCATATGCCTATATTTTTATTTGGTAAATGACCTTACATAAAATTTGATTGTATCACTTTACTTTAATAATATAATAGATTTTCAGAAATAGTATAAAGGTAAAAAATCCACTTAAGACATACATACACAATTATGTATGTGTTTTGAAGCTAAGTAAAAGTATAAATTAAACTTAATACTTTTATGTAGGCTACTTTTTAAAGATTTTAAAACTGGATACACTTTATCAACGAGTTTCTCTTTTTAAACTGGGTTTCCTTGTCCCAGTTCAAACCTGCTTCCTCCACTGGTGTAAAGTTATTACTTCTGTTATCAGTATGAAGTCATGTGGCACATGAATGGCAAACTTGTAGGTACCGGCTGACACTATATTCTGGTTTTCTCATTAATAATCATTATTTTTAATGGTCAGTTAATATTTTTCTATTGATAAAACAAACACACTGTCATACTGAGTGGAGTATTATAGAGTAAATAAATTGTGGTCATGCTAATATTACAAAGATTTATATAGCATCAAGTACCGTATTATTACAAACAATTTTGCATTTTAATTTATAAATTAAAAACTGTTATTTTTACTTTATGGCAAATCATTAGTGTCCTTTGGACAGAATGACAAGCAAAAACTACTGAAACACTTTTTTAACAATTCTAAAAAGTTGGTAACAGTAAAAGAATGTTTATTTTTGTTAATGAAAAAGCATGTAAAATAAGTACAGTAGTAATAATTTTTTGTGAAACAAGTCTAAATAAAATCTAATAGGTGGATCAGTTCTTAAAACTATTGACCAGTTTGTTGTTTTTCCTTAATTATGCTATCCCATAACTACTCCAAATTCCTAGAGGTTATAAACTGTTATGGAAATTCACTAAACCTTTCCTCCTATATGAACTTTCACCTCTAAAGGAGAGTCAGTTTGATAGTGATGTGTGAGTCTGCTTTTTTATCAATTCTTATAACTCATGAAGATTGTTCCAAGTGAATTATTAACTTTTTCATCAAGTCTTCCATTATAAAACACAATATGGGGTGATCATTTGGAGCAAAACAGCTGACTCTACAAGGTACGTTTAGCATACTCCATTCTACCTTCATTGTTGGATATACATAATCAACGATTCTACACTCATTATATTCAGTCATATTTTCCTCACAGTATGTACATTTTAGTGAATTTCCCATATGAGGAATGAGCTAACAGTCTACTCTTGGTAATTTACACACTCGATAAATTAAAACTTTCGATAGTTAAAAGTAAAAGCTCAGTCCCTCTCTTAATATTTCAAAGTATTACATCATACATTTTGATACACTCATTATTTAAAAGTCCAAGCAGAGAGCAGGCTGATTAGGAACACACAGTAATTTGTTCACCAGCAAAACACTCTATAAATTCACACCCTGAAATCATTAAATTTGGTAATTTCTTTTTCAAATACAGGACTGTTATTTTTAAGTTTGAACAGTTTTAGCAATTTAAAATAAACAAAAGACTTTTTGTTGATTTTTTTATTATTTGGACGAATGCTATGTGGAAATTATGTACAACTAGCTGTTACCCACGGGCTTCACCCCGTTTGATTTCATGGTGGACCTTCCACCATGATTTGACTTCATAACTATTAATAAAAATATTGATTGGTTAAGCGGAAATAAACAAAACAGAATACTGTACAGTAATTCAAACAAATAATCACACCTGATTTTAATCTATATCTATAAAAGAGGAACTATGTATGTGTGTGTGTGTGTATGTATATACGTTATGGACTCCGAAACCGCTCGACAGATTGTAATGAAACTTTCAGGCATTATTAAGCATCTTTCAAGAATGGTTCGAGTGAAGTTTGGTGCAGATCTATCAAAAGGGCTCTGCCCCAGAGGGTTTTAAGTGGGCCAATGTCAGACTTTTTGATCTACAATGTTTACAAATAAATATAATTTAAAAGCAGATGTTTACTTTTACCAACTGTTTTGTAGGTTTGAATAATTACAACATTCTGTATTAGCATTAGCCATGATTTGAAATAGTGCCACAGTGTTTCTACAGAGTGCAGCACAGAAAACTATTTTACTTTTGAATAAGTCCAAATGTATTAAACCCCAATCGCAGCACACCTGTGCACTTAACAACGTTTAAATTCTCCAATGTTAAATATTAAAACATAAAAACCTTTATAAAAGTACTGTATTATAAACAATAAAAGGGATGATTTTTTAAAATTTATGACAACAGCTAATTTGCAATCAAAAGGTGAGTGAGCGTAGCGAACGAACATCAACCTGGAGGCGAGTAAGCGTAGCGAACGAGCTAACCTGAAAACAAGTGAGCGCAGCGAACGATTTCCAACCTGAAGGTGAGTGAGCGTAGCGAACGAACTTCAACCAGGACGTGATTGAGCCATGCGAATACTTATGAAGTTAAGCGGGGCAAAGCCCGCGGGTACAGCTAGTAAGGTAATAAATTAAAAGAATAACAAACAAATAAGTATAGCTGAGGTATTTTTAATATTAGGTATAGGGAAAGTTCCCTTTAGAAAGGAATTACGACCTTAAAGGGAAATTTATAAAGTAATGGATAGTTTTGCACAAGGTTTCTCGTCATGACGAACATTAAGTGCGGTATATGGTTTATGGGTGTGTGACTTTTAGTTTTCTCAAAAGTTCGTGGGTACTTTGGGATTTATATATGGATTATTTTTGTTTGGTTTTAAAATGTAGCATTTAATTCATTTTAATAAAATGGATACAAATGCCTTAATTTTATGATTTAATGACATTGTATTGTAATAAAATTAATGGATAGGTACTAACAAATTTTCTTACCAAAACATGCAAACAAAACTTATATATTAAATTTACACAACCATGACTTAAATAATAATATACTGGTACTACAAATAAACTTAAAATCTAAAAAAATCACTTGACCTTGTTATTTTTACAGATCATTATTAGTATATATCATTAGATTAAATAGGTAGCCTACTTTTCCATCAGTAGGGTTCAGTTGTAAATTTTAGAGGATTTGTTATTCAGAATAGATAAAATTTGAAAAAATCACTTTAATGCATATTTAAGTGAGTGTATTGGATCATATTTGTTAAAACCGTGAAGGAATAAAAGTGGTCTCATGGACGTTTTATCTTCAAATGATAATCCCAGCTTTTCTCAGTGTCAGAGTAGTTAAAACTTCCATAGTTAACTCTAAGCTGTATCTCAAAAGGCAATGTTTACAGTCTGAGTTTAATATAATTTTAGTAGTTTTTTTCACTATTTATTCTTAAATAAAAGTAAAATATAATATACCATAACTGTATGAGGTAAGTGAAAGTTCTACAACAACTTTATTTTTTAAGTATAGGTACATTTTGATTATTTAAAATGGTGCATTATTTAATACTTAATACTTACTTAACCCTTTGGGTACCAGAAATTTATTTTGGTACTTTCCAAAAAGTGCCAACGTTTTTTACTAGGTATATCCGAAAAGTGCCAGGCTTGCTGCGGGGGCAAGGCGTAGTGCGCAAGAATAAAAATTGGTACAAGTATAAATTTCAATCCCAAAAGTGCCAATGAACATTATATTGTGCCTCGATCGTATGAGAGGACTCGAATAAAATATTCGTTCTTTTAAAATAATAACAGAGACAACCAATTTATGCCCAATAAAACTCACATAGTTGAAAGTCGTGCCAGCCCGATATATCTTTGCAATGAATTTTAGGGTAAGACTACCAACGACAATATATTGTTGTGAAGTATTTTTCGGTAAACCGTGCCAAATGATATATTGTTGCGTGACACTCAAAGGGTTAAACTTGAATTAGGTTCCATATATGAGAAACACAAAATAGCAAATAGGCTAATGAGTTGTAATGAGAAAATGTTGGGAACAAGAATATTGGCTTATGGCAGGAAACATTTGCTAAAATCAGCCTTAGATTTTAATAATTTTCGGTATTTAAAATTTGTTTAGAATTATGGAAGTGCAATTAACCTATATTAGGACCTGTGTTTGAAGTTGAACATTTATTAATATATACAGTTATGCTTTGATCATTTTAGGATGCTTTGACAAGACATATAGATTTTCCGACAGCCGCAATAATAAGATTAACCTGACAACATGTGGCTAAAGATGGACAAAGAGCTTGTTTGTATTCTTGGGCTGAGTTTAAGTTTCTTCTTCTTGTTTGCTGCCGACTTCACAATGGTCAACATGCAGGTAAAAAGCATAAATATTTTGTTTATCAAAGTAAAATATTTGTGTTTAATCGTTCAATCAAAACATAACATCTGTTTGACACAAATATTTGAAAAATACCATATTTTGAGTGGCATGAAAATGAATACATGCAGGGAGACAAAAATCTCCTGGGACGATTTAATATTTATAAAAATAATAAAGATAGTGCTACAACTCTAGGCACAAAGACTGGACATAAAGATCATTTCAACACATTATTTAGTGAGTGATACGCTACCTCTCTACAAGGGGTTGACCCGCTAGGAGTCAGAAAACAATCGTGTAAGCATATGCAATTATGCACCTCACTCTTAGGGGGTTTGTTAGTAAAATCTAATGCTGCAAATTTGAGCTCAAAAGAACAAATGAATCAAAAATGGAAGACCATTTTTGACTCAGTTGTGCGTTTGAATTGAGGATTGTGGTGTTGTATTCTACAATAATAAAGACCTTTAGTTTGATGTGCATATCAACCTATGCATATATTTATGATTTCCTCCCGACTTCTAGGAGGTGCCCTAAGGAATTCAAGAAATTCAAGAAATCTTTCAACGGCTACCATTTTTGACTAGGTTGTCCATTTTAGTTTGGGTTTGAAGCATAGTGATTGATCGTAAGTCAAACTGTCTTCAGATGTGGTGGATGGTCTCTCTTCCCGTCATGGGTACAATAAATTGAAACCAAATATTTCAATATATTTTTCTGTTAACGAATGTGTGCGTTTCTTTTGCAGAAAACAGTTACATCAAGCATAGCCAGTGAAAAAGCGGACTTCAGAATAGATGGGTACGTGATGATAGGAATCACTTACACCGTGTTTGCTGCAACACTCTGGTTTGGCTCATATGTAACTCATGCCCTTGGTCCAAAAATCACAATGGCAATTGCTGCTGTATTGTACCTGTAAGTTTATTTTTAACCTTAGTAGTTAGAATTAAAGAAAACTAGTTTGTTAACAATATAAAATTTTTAAGACTTTCTTTTATAAATGAATGTATTCTGTTAAGAAAAATTAGAATCAATAGAAAGAAACAATCATTAATGCCGCAATGGAAACCACCGTCATAATTAAATTGGAATGCACTTAAATTATATTTGAAAACAACATTATATGTCTATTACATTATGCTGTCAACTAATTTTTGTCGGTCTGAGTTATAAAGGCCTTATTGTGGCATCAATACTTTGAGAAGCTTTTATGAGCAAAGAGAGAGCTCCGTTCAAAAGTTCAAGAGGTTAAGATACCTCTTACAAAGATGTAAATTAAAGTTTTAGTATTAAGCTTTTATGAGATACAGCTAGGTAGGGTATACATGTTGAGGGGCACTTTAGTATCTTGTTAGTCTAATAGGAAATAAGGATTCAAAATGGGAAAGCCAAACTTTAAGAATCAAAATGTGCTTGACTATTTTTGTTGAAACTTCACACTAAATATTTACGGTTCTGTACTTGGGCAGTTATTTATACACTTTCTTGTTCTGAAACTGTTTCAGTATTTACATCGCCTCTTACCTTTCTGAATGCTCATGGGTTATCTACATAGCCTCTGTGTCAGTGGGTTTAGGCGCTGGAATACTCTGGCCTGCAGAGGGACAATATATGATTGGAAACTCTTCCAGCAAAAACACGGCAAGAAACGTTGGCATTTTCTGGCTTATCTACAGCAGTTCGTGAGTTTCAACCATTTCTCATGTTAAACGATGAATCATTTTCAGGAGTATTGAATAGTTGTATATTGTCAAAACAAATTTTGGAGATATCAGAAGTTAATAGAATATGAATTAGTACTAGATTTACCTTTGTTGAATTAGTATGTTCCAAAACCATAATATGAGTACAACAATCTAATGCTAACTATACTGAACAACTGAGAAAACAGATGTTACTTATCTGTACTCACTGAGCAACATTAGACGAAGAAGTTGTGACTTAATAGTACATGTAAGTACGCAAAGTCCATTACAAACAAACTACAATGTAGTACCAAACTATTTCTGAAGAAATTATTTTGAATCATTTTTCTAGTACAATAATTCCAGCACATTTTGGATTATGGTTGATTTTTTTAAATAATTTTTTTTAATTTTGAAGCAAAAAAAGCCTTAAGTGGCATTTTTACTCTCTAGGGAGTAAAAATCATTTTTAGCTCCTGGGAGTAAAAATCAGCTGTTGTCAACTCAGTTGTAAATTTCAACTGTAAACAATCGCATGAATCAAAAGTATGATTCAATCTTGTAATCGGTTGAAGTTTATTATTGCCTTATTGTAAATAGTGTGACAATTCGATAGTATAATACACTAACACAATCGCAATAGTAGACAAAACGATTGAATCAAGAAATTTCTCAAATCAGACTCTTGAATACCAACAAAAATAAAGTTTACCAAACTATTTTTCAACAGGAGCATGATGGGGAACACATTTGTTTATTTTACCTTCCATGATAAAAAGCACATTGATCAAGTGACAAGAAGAACTGCCATTTCTATTTTAACAGTTATCAATATCATAGCTATTGTTGCATTCTGCCTGTTGCCAAAGCCGTTGTATGAACTCAAATCGAATGACTACGGTCCTTTCAAGACAATGAAGCAGAGTTGGAAAATATTGACGTCCTCCAGAATGATATGGCTTGTAATTACTTTCTGTTACACAGGTGAGAAAGTTTTAAACAATTTTGACTTGATTCATATCAGAGTTTCAGCTCAAGTTGTGAATTTAGAAGTGAAACTAAAGATTATTATTACTTTTAAAATTGCTGGTTTAAATTGCCATTCTGCCGCATCCGAGGTAAGGTCAGTGATACGTTTTTTGATTTCAAGGAACATACGTAATGCTGAAGGTGATGTCCCTAATGCAATGAGTAAGACTAAAGTACATAAATGGGTTATGAAGTGTAAAAATGGCCGTGAAATCCTTTTTTCATGGCGGTTTTCTTTGAGAAGTCTGGGTACCCACAAAAAACACAATTCCTTCCGAAATGAGCGTTTTTCACGGCCATTTTTAAGCTACCTAATTTATTTCTTCACTCTCCACGCTATCTTTACATCAGGGTCATAATCTCCAGTCACCTGGCAATTTTCGGCAGCGGATATGTTTCTTGTAATCAAATACGTATCCCTGACCTTACCTTGGACGTGGTGGAGTGGGAGATTTGATTGTTAAAAATATTTTTAAAACAGACAGCAAAGCCTGCACGACAGCTATAGAGCTGAAATTCGTGTCATTCTATTCACAAATGATACCAGTAAATGGCGATGAGCCTTGTTGCAGCGTACAAGCCAAGTTAGAAATTAGTGTGTGAAACCGGCCCTTTCTTCTAAAATCCGCCCTCGTATGGAGCTTTATGATTGAGTTTTTATTTTTCATTTCAAGATGACCACACTGACAAAAACATGCAGAAAACATGATATCTTGATAATGAGCATTATCTTAGTTTGGTTTTATATTGCATTTGTCAAATATAATTTGAGGTTTTTAACATTTTTTTTTATTAACATTTTTTTAAACATAATATTAATCTTAATATACAGGGTGTCCCGGAACTCTCTACCAATATTTTAGGGCATTGATCCTGGGTAAGAAACGTACCTAAATATCATATTTAAATTGTCTGGAAGTCCTGAGTTACTCACACAGCCGCCATTTTTTTTTATTATTTATTAATTTTTTTCTAAAGAATGGTTAAACATACGAAATGGAAACTTTGCACAAACATTTATGACAACTAGACAAAGCTACAAAAAAATTATGAAGATTTTAAAAATGCATAAAACAAAATGGCGACAATTTTAAATTTTCTTTCTTAAATAACTCAAAAACCATTGATTTTACAAAAAATTTAAATGGTCGTCATTTTGTTTTCTGAATTTGAAAAATCGTGATAATTTTTTGGTAGCTTTGTCTAGTTGTCATAATTGTTTGTGCAAAGTTTCCATTTCGTATGTTTAACCATTCTTTAGAAAAAAATTAATAACTGAAAAAAACAAAATGGCGGCTGTGTGAGTAACTAAGGACTTCCGGTCAATTTAAATATGATATTTAGGTACGTTTCTTACCCAGTTTCAATGCCCTAAAATATTGGTAGAGAGTTCCGGGACACCCTGTATAAAAGAAAGTTGTGTTAGTTACAGCGTTTATAACTAGAAAACTACTGAACCAATTAGCATGAAAATTTACAGGGATATTCCTTAGGTACTAGAATAACATAATAGCCTGTTTCCGTTTCAAAAACCCTTAAGGGAAGCGTCCTATGGCCCTTTGCAGTTTACATGTTAATCTTATGGAAGAATGTTTTATCTATATATTAATACGCAAGCAGGTTTCTTTTCACAGTCATAAGGGAACGTAGACATGACCGCTTGCATCAACCTCTCAATTAAACATTTGACGGGTACATAGTGGTAGTACCACTGTTGTGATACATCCAATCTCGGACAAATTAACTTGAAATGTTTACATTGTAGTGGCTTACATTTATATAAAACTAGCTGTACCCGCGGGCTTTGCCCCGTTTTACTTCATAAGTGAGCTCGTTCGCATGGCTCAATCACGTCCTGGTTGAAGTTCGTTCGCTACGCTCACCTGGAGCTCGTTCGCTGCGCTCACTTGCCTTCAGGTTAGCTCGTTCGCTACGCTAACTCGCCTCCAGGTTGAAGTTCGTTCGCTACGCTCACTCAGCTGTACCCGCGGGCTTTGCCCCGTTTTACTTCATAAGTGAGCTCGTTCGCATGGCTAAATCACGTCCTGGTTGAAGTTCGTTCGCTACGCTCACTCACCTTTTGGTTGCAAATTAGCTGTTGTCATAAATTAAAAAAAAATAATAGTGCTGCACCCTGTTGGTAATCCTTGTACGTTTTTAATGCTTTTGCATAGAACCAACTTTTTAGTTGAAACAGCTGACTAAATTATTTAATTCCCTTTTAATATGAATACTCATAAGGTTGGGGAACTATAGAGCCACTGGGGCGGAGCCCGAAAGGATTTTTGAGATAAGAATATGCCTATATGTTAATCGGGAATGTGAGCTATCATCATGCCAAATTTCAGCAAAATCCGTCCAGTGGTTAATGCGTTTACTTGTCACAAACATACATCCATACATCCATAAATCCAAACTTTCTCATTTATAATATTAGTTGGATGATAGTACTGTAATACATTAAGAGATCTTAATTTAATTAATCAATAAGCAGGATTGAGCTTTTGCCTATATGTTTCCTGGTAAGTGTGTTGTAACTGTTTCTCATAGTATATTATATTATCTTAAAGTAAAACCGAATTATTCTTTTCTGCATTCTCACCCGTAGCGAAGCACGGACAGAGCAACTACTATTAAAATAAAGTTATTAACATTTTTCAAACACACAAAAAAGTTAAAAATCATGAATCAAAATTATTTACAGAAAATTGGTTAGAAAAGCCTGAATTCATAAAACTCACACATTAAAGATCTTTGTAAAAATCTTGTTAAACCATGTCAAATTATAAAAGTTACCTTTTTCAATAGGTTTACAACAGTCTTTCTGGAATGGAATCTACAGTCCAAGTATTGGCTTTACTTTGGCCTTTGGAAATTCATCCAAAGAATTGGTTGCGCTTAGTGGAATCTTTATGAGCATTGGTGCTGTATTGGGTGAGTAGACATTACAATTTGAAGGGTAAACCACATTGATTTGACTAATTTTGTCCTCCCTCACCATCACTGTAGTATCATACTGAAAGGCCACAAAGAGCTAAACTTACTACTGCTTACCTCCATGGCCTCTTGTACCCATCAAGCTGGTACGTGGCCTCGCCAACACCTTGTCACCTAGTTCTCTTGGTCCTCCGAATCTTCCTCTACTTGTCCCATTTTTTCCATATCTTTCTGGACTTGATTCCACCACCTGGCCTTCCTACTGGTTTCTTTCCCCTCGGATATCCCCTTTAGCGTTCTTCAACAAGCTTTCCTCATTTCTCCTCAAGATATGGCCAACCCACCTTAGCCTTCTGTTTTTGACCTCTACAACAATATCGGGGTCTCGGAATGATTCTCTTAACTCTTGGTTGTGGCGGATTCTCCATACTCCATCTTCACACACTGGACCATATATATCCTTTCTCACCGACAAAACAAACAAAAAAAGAAATTATCAGTTTGGTTCTTGCAACAGTAGAAATTAACTGTCTAAATTGGTATAGGCATAGACTAAGCAACACAAGTAGACTCCTCATCCCATTGTAAATTTTGAAGCTTGTTTTTCATGTCCAGTTCATGTACGTCCACACTGATCGCTGGGGTAGACAACATTTTGCTTATATTATTTTAGGGTTATTTTAATGATTTGTGCTTTACTATTTGGTTATATAACTAGGGGACCAGTTATTCTTTATGATTAAATCGTTTTATATGATTAAATGAGGTTTTAAATGACTGAAATAACAAGAAACAAATTGTAAACAAAACATAACCTCTACAGTTGGACGTACATAACAAACAATAAAATTGGCTTCAGCTGTTCCATAAGGATGACAAATCTACTAAGGGAGTATGATCATAGACAAAAAGAATGAAATATAGACTGTCAGCCGTGCTGCGGTTACCATGGTTACCATAGGTTCCGGCGCACACTGCTGTAGTTTACGTAGCGCGTACGCTGTAACTACCGTGGCGATCCCAGCGGTGTGCGCCAGAACCTATGGTAACCGCAGCACAGCTGACGGTCTATATTTAATTCTTTTTGTCTATGGTATGATTTATCTATGGTATAGGCTACTCTGTTCTTGCATTTATTTCATATTATAATTTCATTTATTTCTTGATGTTGTTTTTTTAGGTACGGGTACAGTGTTGAAGATGATTTTCACATGAGGGAACCAGTTAGAATAATATTGATGAAGTAAAGAGCAGTATTAAGTGTTGGCCTTGGATTTGAACCAGCTTGCTTGGCCCCAACAGAGCTTGACAAAAACTTAATTCCATGTTTAGATTCATACGAATTTTTAGACTTAATAATATCTGACAAATACATCATTTTGTAAGCCTGACAAATCTTGAATTTACCTAAAAAATTTACATAAATTTTGCTCAACAAAGAGTCATACATTATTTCCGTACAAGATTTTTTGCAGTGTTTTAAAATTGATAAAATAAGTTTTTCATTGATAAAATATAGTTAATTCTTGACTGTTTGCTCCCATCAGGTGGACTGTGTCAGATTCTGCTGTCGGATAGATTGGCTAAGTATTCTTGGGCTCGGAGGATGGTTGTGTTGTTTGGAGCTTTGGCTCAAGGAGTGACATATCTCATAACCTTCCTCAACCTCCCAGACACAGCTGTGTTTGGTGACACGGAGGACGTCAGCATCATTAAACCTCCGAGGTGAATGGATACAGTTAGACCTACCTGGGACACTTCTAGATAGCTTGATAACTAAGGCCAGTTTTCCTAGTTACTGGATTCAGATGTGTTTTTCATCACCAATTCAACACACAAGGGTCAAGCAGATATTTTCCTAGCTGCCAAATTCAACACTGTATCTCGCGGCGGACTGCAAAACAGGTGACTGCTCTATAACATCAGTTCTGCATCAACGAATTCGAGCTCCTCGAATATTGCATTTATTTCTTACTAAACTTTTAAAATTTAACAAAAAAAACTTTTTTACCCTCCCTGCTGCAACAAACCTAAGTGCTCGTTAAACTAATTATATTTAAATGGGGAAAATGTCATATTTTTAAGGAGAGATTTTAGTGTAAATCCAATCAGGCAAATGGAAATTTGCTTAGTCTGCAGGTTTGCTGCGGCGGGGGTATATTTATTTTCTACTGTTTTTAGCCACATGTATTTTGACTAATACTTGCTTATTAACACGTTCGCTACCGAGAGTTGCATATATGCGACGACGCGATCAATGCCACGGACCGAGGTATACAATTTAATCTTACACTTAGACCGGCTGTCACTTTGTTAACAGTACACGCAGACTACGGGCGAAAACCTGTTAAACAGTGATCATTTACTTGTTAATACACTGCAATCATGTTTGAAATAATATTTTCTTGTTTTTTTTAATACTTTTGAAAACCTTTTGTCATGTCGCATATTTGCGATAACCGGTCTATAGCAAAGACAATAGTGAAAATTATTACATTTTTCTTGAAATAGCCCAAACTTTGCATGTATGCAACAGTTTATTTTGGTTTATGTGTTGAGGTGAAAGTAATAAAAAAAACAGATTATTCAAGAACAGATTATTATAATTGAACAAATATAAAATCTACATAGGATAATGCAGCATTCATACATACTTTGATGCAGCAAAGTAAAGAACAGTTTTTCCAACTATCATATGACGTCACCAATCATCATATCCACACAGCCACAGGGACACAATTGTGCGTCAGACATCCCCTGTAGACCACTGCAGAGAATTCAGTGCCTTCAAATAGACTGTTACAGAGATATACTCATTTTGATAACAATGGAACACCGACACAAATATGCGTTGTCAGTCAATTTTAATGTGACTAGCCGTCACATTAAAACTGGTTCGCTACCGCATTATTAAAAAATTGTTCATTCATATAGACCAGCGAAGCGACACACATATGTTGCATATGTGTGTCGCTTCGCTGGTCTATATGAATGAAAAATTTTGTATTAATGCGGTAACGAACATGTTAATGATTAATAATTGAAAATGTCATATGGTTAAATAAAATAGAAGTTTTGTTTAGGTTCACTGAAGAATATGAGTTATTTTATTATCTATAAAATTTAACTATTAATTTTGAACAACCTGGCTGTTGTCAAATTTTAATTTAATTCTTAAGCCGTGTTTATAACGCAGTATTCAAGTGTTTAATCAAAAGTTAATAACAGTGCAAAGAAAAGTTTTATTTAATGTTTTGATCAGTTTTTCAATGTTTACAATAAATCTTAACGGAGATTGTTTCCAGACCCAATTTGAAGGGGGATTCCTTTTCAAAACGTAAAAAAGATTTTTTTGCGTTGAAAACACATCAGTTCATCAGTTCACATCATAATTGAAGACGTTCACGTAAACTCTAGTTTATATGCTACACACTCCTAAGTATTGGACAAAACTGGTTATTTGCTGTATTTCTTGTGGACAAGTGTTGAAACATAATCACTTAACATATTGTTTCAGTGCTGCTCTTGCCTTACTGGGCAGTTTCCTGATCAACTTCGGAGATGCTTGTATATCCACCCAGATTTACACTTTTATCGGAGACCATTACAGAGACAACATAGCTGAGTCCGTAGCTCTGTATAAGTTTGTCAAGGTTCGTAGTAGAATTGAACAGGGAAAGCATCCAGCAGGCTAAAGGCCTTGCCACACCGCCGTCCGCAACGTTATGTCACGTTTCAGATTTTTTAGCCAATCGCTTAACGTTGTTTCAAATGGAGCAAGTCAAACCGCCGCAGACAGACTGCTGACTACTCAGCAGACATGTCTGCTGGATCACTCGCTGAGCGATCGGGAGTAGATGTAACGTTGCTTCTGTAGCCTTGCGCATGTGCACTGAGCTAACCTGCATCACCTGTTCATTCTCATATTGAAAGAATAGGTTTACCGAGACCATAATCAAAACTTGATGATGGTGTAAAAGATTGATTTAGTCTTTTCAAAATAGAAACTATATACAATAGGAATAGATATATTAATTTTATTTTATCAAAAGTCGAAACCTTCATAAAAAATCCTGGGAAAATTTCTAGGGACAATTTGTGATAAATTAAGGGCTGAAGCTGAGTCAAAATTGGGCCATGTGATGCGATGTTTGCAGATGTCTGTCACAGTGTGGTTTGGGCATCAGCAGCGCAACGTTACAAAACATGTAACGTTACAGTGCACAAGGTGGTGTGGCACCGCCTTTAATCCTCAATATAAGTAAAAACAAATTACTTCTATCCTATACTCTAATATGAGCATTGTTTGCTTGTATGTATGCATGTATGTATGTATGCTTGCTTGCTTGCAGAAAGATCTCGAAAACGGCTTCGACGATTTTCTTCAAATGTTGTAAATAGTTTATTTCTGGCCTAAAAACGAGTTTACTGTAGTTAGAACTGCCAACAAAAATCTATTTATGTAGAAAAATAAACTAAAAATCACATTTTTTTAAAATTAGTCTTATGGGTTGCTAAGTAACCGTGTTGGTTGAATTAAATAACAAGAAAAAAGTAATCAAACAAAAGACTTGTAATAAGTTGTAACATGTGTTCATAATTAATAAGCCATCTACCCACAGTATAATAGAAAATTACAAAATACAGTACAAAAGGAAAAACATCAGTTGTTACTATTGAGCAAAGATTAAACTAAAGAAAGATTACTCGATACCTAGACATTCCATCCCCATGTTAAAGTTGTAGCATAGACTAACCAACACAAGTAGACTTCTCATCCCATTGTAAATTTTGAAGCACGTTTTTCGTGTCTAGTTCATGTACGTGACACAAAGGCGCTAGTGTCGATGAAACTTTGTTTCCATTATTTTAGGGTTAATTTCTTGATTTGTGCTTTACTGTTTGGTTATATAACTAGGGGACAAGTTATTGTTTATGATTAGATCGTATTATTTGGTTAAACGAGGTTTTAAATGGCTGTAATAACGGGAAACAAATTGTAAACAAAACACGACCTCTACATAAACCGTACATGAACTAACAATAAAATTGTCTTCAGCTGTTCCATAAGGATGAGAAATCTACTAAGGGAGTATGTTTTATCCATGGTTGTAGCCAGGTTTTTAATAAAATTTGTCTTAGTTGATGTGAACCACCTACAGATTGCGCTGATCTAAATTACTGATTTCTGCTGATTACATGATGGTTTTTACCAGGTCAAACTGATGGAATGACTTATTATGAGCTATAGCAACTGTTGTGACCCAGCAACTATGTCAGTAACGAAAAATAAGGTACAAAATAGAGTTTTAGACACTAGCGCAATCTGTGACTGGCTCCAAGTTAATGGTATGTTGCAGGTTATATTCCATCAAATCTGTTATTGCTTACAGAGTGTATTGGTAGCAGCAAGTTTCTACTGGTGCAGTCATGTTGGTCTACACACTCAAGTCGCGGTGACTGCTACAGTCGCTGTGTTTGGAGTTCTGGCGTTCTTTGTGGCAGACAGAGATGCTTCACAGCCGCTTGTTCAATTGGAAGTGAAAAATGTGTCAAATATGACTAATGTCAATTCTAGTCCTGAGGCAATAAATAAAAAAATGTGATAGTTAAGGTTTTTACATTTTTCTCTAATTATTATCTATATACTCACTCACTGATCAGGTACGGTATACAAATGTTTGCCTACTTCTAGAATAGCTACGAGGTTTAGCTCTCCAAAGGATATAACCACGAGTGTACAATCCAGGTGATCTTAGCGGCTACGGTATGTCACCAAAGCGTGATCACCTTGTTAGGAAACATTCATTCAATGCTGCTCTCACTCTGGCAATGTTTTCGGGTGTTCTTGAAGTTCTAACAAGGCCTGGTGGTTTCTTTCTTGTTATATTCCCAGTTGTTCAGAACCCTGAAACCCATCTTAATAGCGTGTTCCGCTATTAAGCTGGGAACCGTTCATGGCTTGGAACCGTTCCATGGCGTTCAATATTAAAATGTCGACTAAATTCCCGCTGGATTTTATGACGGATTCACCATTTCGGACCAAAGTATCGTATGCGAAAACGCGATGGTCTAGGGTCCACTGAGCCATTTCAACAAAAATGGCAAGCCTCACTGAAGGTAATGACATAACTTCAATTTTCCTACCAAGTGCGACAACAATGGAACAGCTGTTTAAAAAACGTCCGGTTCCTTTGTGTCACCCTGTATATGCACAATAACTTGAACAAAAATGATCCGATTTTGATGAAATTTGGTATAAACGTGTAAACCTACATTTATTCGAACGAGTTCGTGAACCAGCATGATCAGACTATGGAAACGGGGGCTTATGGGGGATTTTATAGGGTAAAAATTCGTTTTTCCCATTTTTGAACCAAAAAACATAAAATATAGCTATTTATTTCCAAACCATTTTGTAGAGCTTAAAAAACAAATAATTTAGTATATTGAAGTTATACTATGTGCCTAATGGTTACGGAGAAAATTCCAGAAAATTGTAAGTTAAAAATTCCCATGATATTCTTATGGAGAATAAGTACACTGTTGTAGTTTGCTTGTTTATGAACATATTTTGATCAAATTTGGAAAATGTTTTTATTTCTTGTTTACTATTAAGCAAAAAAAACTTTTACCCTCCCTGTTGCAGCAAACCTAAGTACTTGTTAAACTAATTCTATTTAAATAGGGACAAATTTGATATTTTTAAGGTAACATTTTAGTGTAAATCCAACCAGGCAAATGGAAATTCGCTTAATCTGCAGGTTTGCTGCGGTGGGGGTATTTCCTTATTATTTTGTCCAGCTAAAATAGTTACTTGGTCAATGTTAATTTTTTTTAATTTTCAAATGAGTTTTGTAGCAAAATCCAAATTTTCCTGAGGTAGTGCCTGACAATCATGTTTTTGACAGTCCCTAATCCCAAAATTAAGTCTAAATTCTTCTGGATTTTGAGATTACAGACACAGATAGACAGACAGACAGGCAAACATACATACAACAAATACATAGGTAGCTCATATTAGTTAGAGTATAGGATAGGATTGTTAGCTCCTACCGCAACAGTATTAAAAAAAATGTTCACAAATCTAGAGCCTTATTGTGGTCTTTGAAACCTAATAGTGAATTTAAATTAATCTAAAATTATGGTATTTAGAAAAGGAGGGAGGTTACCTAACAGAGACAAGTGGTTTTATAAAGGAAAGCTTATAGTGGTTGTAAATCAATATAGGTAGCTGGGAATATCATTTAACCCTTCCCGGACGGACTGAATCAAGACATAGGACGGGAAAAAATTAGAGGAAAAAATAAAAATTAATTTTCCTTATTTGTGTTTTGTTATACAATTATACATAAAATAAACACAATAGAACACTTCATACTGTCAAAATAGTTTTTTAAAGCGGATATATCCGTCACCCGTCCTTTATCGCCAAAGACTTAGGCGGATATATCCGTCACCCGTCCACAAAGGGTTAACTATACAAAACAAAAAAGTTGTGAAAAAGTCATTTGAGGGAAAAATTTGTAGCTGCAAATTCGCCATGAATTAATTGTGGCGAGATTTTTTCAACAATGGGAATGTTCTGAGCTCCAAGGTTTTTGTTTTTTTTAGGCAATGTTAAATAATGTTTATTTTCGGGACAGTTACTTCATTCGTTTATGTTTATGATCCATACCGTGTCTGTTCAAGTACCGTATTCGTGGTAAAAACATAATCTTTACCACGTGGGATCAGCTGATAAGAGTTGTAAAGTCGTTAGGGCAAACAAAAGCAGACCTGGTTTAAAGCCGCGATGGAATGTCGTTATCACCACATTTATAGATCACTTGACTTTGATCTCTGCCATCGGTCTTATCTTTCAGATAATATTGGTATGAATTTAAAGCATTGGATTTTCAAGGAAAGCTGTGACAATACATCTATATAAGCCTTGGATTGTAGAGCAAAATTTCCATTCCAAGTCAAGTTTATAGGGGAGATGTCACGGAATTCAGCTTCTGTATTACGACCGTGTTAGTTGTTGTGAATTTCCAATAACTTAATCAGGAAAGAACTAAATTAAATAAGACTTTATTTAAACATGTCTTTTGTAAGAAGTCAAAATCAATAACAATATTTGTTTATATCTCATAATAATATCCTAAATAAAACACATGTTTTATTTGCAGTCTTTATGAAACATCCCCCTCCTTAAAGATCGAGTCTCCTTAGAGGATGTACTTCACGCCCGTGTCTAGTCTTGTAACTTGAGTTGTCCTCACTTGGACTTCTGGACTTCTGGTACAGACACACACTTGATGAATTTTGTTCTGTCACATTGTCTGGTGAGGGTATACTTTTTAAGTCATCGGGAAATGGTAGAAGATGGAAACGGTTTCTTCTTAGGTCTCTTGTATCAGTCCTGAAAATATATTATGATTGTGGCTCAGTTGCTGTTTTTACAACTGTTCCAGGTTTTCCAAAGTCAGATATCCAAACGCTGTCTCCAGATTTCAAACTTCCAAGAGATTTGGCACCATGCCTGCTGGAGTCATAATTTCTCTTGTTCTTTTCTCTGTAATCAGGGCCGGTTCTAGGAATTTTTCAGAGTTAAGCGAACACCCGAATCAGCGCCACTTAGAATCCCCCCCACCACCCCACCCTCAAGCCATGAACATTACCATAGATAAAACATACACTTAACTCTATTTTTGAATTTTTTGCCAAAGATTTTGGGAAGAACTTTTTTATAAGTTTTGGTTAGAAGAATACTTGCAATAAAAGACTGTTTATTATTCCCAAGAATTTAACATTTTTACACTTTTACTCATCGTATAAACTTTAGCAAAACCAAGGCTACACTAAAAAACAGGCCGTAATGCTCGTCAAGAATAACGTCACCGTAGAAGACGTTTGTGATCAGCTGCTTGTTTTAATCTTTCCTTGGAAAATAAATAAATAAATACCTACGTCATTGCCGTCTTCTATCGTGACGTCATGCTTGACGAGCATCACGGCCTAAGTTAACAATTTATTTCTAAATGTGAAAACAATTTTTACGCCACACTACACTATTTTGACGAACTTCCCACACAAGGATTTAGTCCAGAAAACAGCTGTTTGCCGCCAGCTTAATCAAATGGGGTTTCATTGCGTACTACTGTACTGTAATGAGTTTTACCGGACACCAATCAGCTGATTACACTGTATTTGGGTGTCAATGAGTGGTTATAAACAAAAACCTCTCTTAAAGGTCATGACTAGTGATTAGAAACAGATACAATCTAAATTCTATATCAGTAATTGGCATTAATGATTGGTGCAAGAGGGACTATTACAAATTTTGTTGACAAATTTATAAAAAAATATAATCTTCCATCAAAATTAAAAAAAGAAATAGTCATAGGGTTAAAAGGATCATGTAAAATATCATTCAAAATCATTTACATGGACAACATTAAGTTACTTATTATTTATATCATAAATTTAAGTTTATTGTTACTGTGTCTAATATAGGCAAAGTTTATTACAATAAACTCAGTTTTCAAAATAAAGATAATATTAGTTTGATAAATATTCCCTAGGAAAGTGGGGGCGGCAAATGCCCTAAATGCCTAAATGCCTCCTCTGTGTCTCAGTAGTAATAAAACTTTGATACCTCTTATCTGTATCTGAAAAGGCAATGATTAGAGGCTGAGTAGTGTTTTCCCTATTTATTCTAAACAAAGTAAAATAAAGGATACTATAACTGTATGAGGTAAGTACGAAAGTTAACCACTTAATTTTTTTAATGTATAGGTACATTTTGATGATTAAAAAAAAGAATTATTTGAATTAGGTTTCTAAATGAGAAACAAAAAATAGCAAATAGGCTAATGAATTGTAATAAGAATATGTTGGGAACAAGAATATTGGCTGATGGCATGAAACATTTTCTAAAATTGCGCTTAGACAGTTTATAATTTAGGATATTAAAGATTTTGCTTTGAACTAAGAAAGTGCAATTATCTATGGACCTGTGTTTGAAGTTGATTATTTATTATACAGTTATACTTTGATCATTTTAGTATGTTTTGACAAGACATATAGATTTTCCGACAGCCGCAATAATAAGATTAACCTGACAACATGTGGCTAAAGATGGACAAAGAGCTTGTTTGTATTCTTGGGCTGAGTTTAAGTTTCTTCTTCTTGTTTGCTGCCGACTTCACAATGGTCAACATGCAGGTAAAAAGCATAAATATTTTGTTTAATCAATAATGACTTTTATTTTATGTTCATATCAACCTATATGCTTACACTTATGATTTTCTCCTGACTTCTAGCCTCCCTGAGGAGTTAGCGTATAATTGTATCACAAATTAAAGAAATCTTTGAACAGAACATTTTTGACTTGATAGTCCGTTTTAGTTTTGGTTTGTTTTTGCAGCATTGTGATTGATTTCAAATTTCACTAATCGAAAGTCGATTGTCTTGAGATGTAGTAGATGGTCTCTTTTCCTGTCATGTTGGCAAAATAAATTGAAAACCAAATATTGTTATAAATTTTGCTGCTAGTGCTAACGTATTTACTATTTGTGTGTATTTTTTTTGCAGAAAACAGTTACATCAAGCATAGCCAGTGAAAAAGCGGACTTCAGAGTTGATGGATACGTGGTGATAGGAATCGCTTATAGTGTTTTCGCTGTAACTCTGTGGTTTGGTCCTTATGTAACTCATGCATTGGGTCCAAAAATCACAATGGTTATTGCTGCTGTGTTGTACCTGTAAGTTTATTTTTACCCTTGTGGTTAAAATGTAAGAAAACTATTTTCTTAAGTATCATATTTTGAGACTTTCTATCCTTTGCGATGGAAAACATAGCTTTTATTCAGTTAAAACTTTTTGTGTTTTATTAATACAAGTTGTCCCATCGTAAAGTTGTTGCCAGTTTTTTAGTCAAAATCGTCGTAGTTGATGTGAGCCACTGACAGATTGCACTAATCTAAATTACTATAATTTATGTCGAATAGGCCTACACAAACTTTTTTACCAACAGTGCCGGATTTACCACTAGGCCGGTTAGGCCGGAACCAAAAGGGGCCGCAGTGGATTGAAAAAACATTTTTTAGATAAAATATTTTTTTAACCATCAATTTGCTGCTGTGACGATAATGATGTCAGGGATAATGCGGACCGAGGGAGTTGTTAACGATTTTGCTGCGGCTGCGGAATGACGGTGATGATGTCCCGTAATTGCTGACCACGGGAGACGTTCATGATTTTGCCGCGGTCGCGAGTGCTGATGATGATGTCCCCGTGATTGCGGCCCACAGAAATGTTCATGATTTCACCGCGGCCGCGAGTGTCATTGATGATGTCACCATAATTGCTGCCCGTGGGAGATGTTCACGATTTCGCCACGACCGTGGGTGTCGATGATGAAAACGATGTCCCTGTGATTGCAGCATGCAGGAAATGTTAATGATTTTGCCACGGTCGTGGGAGAAGTTCACGATTTCGCCACGGCTGGGGCTGTCAATGATGATGTCCCTGTGATGACTTCCCGGGGGGGATTTTTAAGATTTCGCCACGGCTGCGAAAGAGTTCTCTAAGAGTCTTTAAGAGTTCGAATGACAGGCCGTCATTTTGATGTGTTATGTTACACAAAGACAAAAGAAAACCAATCTATTATCATGCCGCTCACCACAACCAAAATTTTGAAGGCTCCTCAAAGCCTTTTACAAGTAAACCCACATCAAAATCCTAAATGCAACCAACTGGTCGTAAGAAATTCCGAATCTGGCTTACCAGTTGGTACTTAAAACAAGTTTTTAGTTTCATAAAAGTCTGCCAACAGTTCACACTTCTGTGAATCAGTCTCACAGATTAGGTTGTCTTTTTTCAACGTAGGTATGACCGAAGGAGTATTTAAAAGACGTTTAGTTGCTTTCCACATATTTGGGTCACTCGGATGAATATCAGAAACATACTTCTTATAGTTGTATATTCTAAATTCCTCGAGTTCTGTTTTCACTCGTCTTCCCAGTTCGTTGAGTTGCCTTTTAAAGTGTGGTAGACGGTATCGCTGCCAAAAAGATAGCTTTCCTGGCAAAAGTTTTTAATGATTCGGTAAATATTTTTACAGAGTTTTCTATTTCGATGCAAGACGATAATTTAGGCATACCTTCTAAGCATTTATCCAATTCTGCACTGAAAATTTCCCAATTTATCTTTCCATTAATTAATCGTTGAGGTGGACAACTGAATTGAGGTTGCGTGAAGAAGGTTACTATAACGGGAGAATGGTCAGAGTCCAGCTCGGGTAAAACATTTTGAATGATTGGAGCTGTAAAGTTTTTGTGCAAAACCAAATCAAGTATATCTGGTTGATAATTACTTTGCCAATGGAAAATGTGTTGGTTCTTGTGGCGCTACGTTTGAGTTATTTGTGAGTCGTAACAAACGGTTTCCATTTGGGTTTGTGGTTCTGCAACCCCATATCTGATGTTTACAATTTAGGTCCCCCATAACAACAGTCGAACAATTTTCTGCAAACAGCACCTGCAAGTCATTATTGTGTAGCCGTTTGTTTGGGGGTTTGTAGACAGAAATTAAGCGAAAGTCTGCACCATGACTTAAATTAATTTTTACACCAACAGCTTCTACGGAAGATAAACGAGGTAAAAATATATTATGATGGTCCAAAGTTCTTCGCACAAAAATTGCAACACCGCCTGAAGCTATTGGATTATGCCTATCTTCCCTGTATATAGAATACCCATTAATTTTGAAATTTTCCACATTGGTCAGGTGTGTCTCAGTAATACACACAATATCGATGCTATGTCTAACCATAAACGGGATAAAAGTAGCACGTTTATCTCTAAGCCCATTGGCATTCCCGTTAAGGAGGGTTAAATTGTTAATTTGAAAATAATTGACCTGATCCATTTGAGAGAATAGAGCTTATCACATTACTTATTATCTTTTTGAGAGTAGGAATGAACGATTTCACCACATCTAGGATTATTTGTTCAAAGTTTTGAAACACAGACGTATCAGGAGCATCATCAGATTGTTCTTGTGAGAATGAATTATTAGTGTTGCGGCGGCTTGTAGCAGCAACTTTAGCAAATAAAACTCGTGTAGAAGGTTCCTGATGAGGCGAAAAGTTTTGTATGAATCTCAGGAAAATGAGTAGCAGAATTCAAATCAGGGGGGGAAGGAGTATTGTCTTTTTTCTCAGTAGCATTTTGAGGGCGATTGCGAGGACTACCCCGATTGTGATCTTTGTTGGTTATTTTCTGGTATACTTGACAGCCTCTTCTGTAGTTAGCTGTGTGGCTTTCGCCACAATTAACACATTGCGGAGCTGCAGTTTTTTGTTTAGGACATTCAGAGTAGTGATGTTGACCAGTGCACCGCACGCACCTTGGGTCCAACTTACAAAAGTTCTTCGTGTGCCCATAGTGTTGACATCGAGTGCATTGGGGAATTTGCCTAGATTTTCTTTTCATTTCGACACTTACAACTGCAAAACAGATTGTGGTTAAATTAAAGATAGCTTTGCCGTCGTCGTTGTTTTCTAAGTCTACTGCACAAAGAGGGAGTGGAAGTTGAGTGTGTACAAAGAACAAACAAAGACTTGTCACAACTTTAAAAGAGAGTCCGAGCTCAAAAATACGTAAAAAAGATAATTATTCACAGAGCAAAAATCAACACAGTCACTATAAATAAGAACCAGCTGTATCCTCTTATTGTTTTTATAATAATAAAAACAATAACAACCATATCAAAACAAATACATAATACTAATTTGACATTTACAATCAGGTGATCTTTTGTTTGCAATCCGAGTGACGTCAGAATATGACGGGAATAGCACTCCTATATATGTTTTTTCCTTCCACCATGGATCTTTTCAAATAAAATCTGAAAATTAGTTATCTGGTCCAAGGCCAGTCTTACTGTAAAAAGACATAGACTGTATCTTACTGTACAGTCTATGGAGTACCTCAGGGGAGTGCCCTTGGTCCCTTGCCAATACACAAGAGATATTCACCCCCCCCCCACCCTTTTGAGATATTGGGGACCTTTTAATGTTTGCTGTATTTTTTATATGTACAGCAGACATCCCTATGGTTCCCACGTCACAATTGCTACATTTGCTGATCAGTACGTCTTTGGAATGTCGATTAGTATGTCTTTGGATCAGTGAAAGAAGAAATTACAAACCATAACAAAAAGTACCAAGAAACATTAGAATATTATCCGAACAGTCAGGCTGGAATAATCACAAAATTCTGTTATAGTCATGATTTGAAATAGTGCCACACTGTTTCCACAGAATGCAGCACAGAATAGTTATTTGTGTAACTATAGTGAGCAAAATGGAACTTTGTGAGGCTCGTGTGGAATGTTCTTTGAGTGCAGCAAAGGCCATTTGTGCTTGTGTTACACATTATATTTTTCCTAAAGTCACTATAAAGCACATAAATAATTAGTCTTTCAAACACGTTTTTAGGTTAGGTTAAACCCAAGCATTGAACGGAATGGGAAACACAGCACCAGCTGATTGTAGTCTTAGTTCTTAGTATCTTTAGGTGTTACTTTTTTTCAAGAGTGTATAAACAGTAATAATCAGCATAAACAGTATAAGCAGAATAAACAAGTAATTTTGTAACTTTCTGACTTACACCACGAAGAAAACAGTCTGTAATGCTCATTCATACTTCTTTTTTGATTTTTCAGGAAACATGTACATCAGGTTTAATGAAACATGTTTGTTTTGCAGTTTCTGCTACTGTACATATTTCGTCTGGTCACGAAATGACAGGTTAAATCGTAGTATCAATAGTCAATCAGCTGATCATAGTAGCAGTATCTTTAAGTGTGTTGCCAACATATTTCCAAGTGTGCACGAATTACGTGCATAATAAAACCATGCTGTCTTGTGTTGTTTGGTTGGAAAACTGGTGTGCGCCAAAGTAATCGTTCAACAGAGTATAAAAAACCATAGTGAAATTGAAATACACTGCTTAAATTATTTACAACAATTGCTGTCAACTAACTGTTTGCAGTCTGAATTATGAAGACCTTGTGGCATCAAAACTTAAGTATTGTGCAGAGCCAGCATTCAAAAGTTCCAAAGGTTTCTTTGTAAATTAAAATCTGTGTCTTCAACTTATGAGACCTTACACTATACGCTCTTATCTTGCTGGTCTAACAGAAAATAGATTTAAAATTTAAAAGCCCAGCTTTAAGAATCAAAATGTGCTGACCTTGACAATATTGAGTTGAAACATCACAGTCAATGTTATTTATGTTGCTTAGGACCTTATTTACACGCTTTCTTGTGTTGAAACTGTTTCAGTACTTACATCGTTGCTTACCTCTTTGAGAACTCATGGATTATTTACGCAAGTGCCGTGTCAGTGGGTCTAGGAGCTGGAATACTGTGGCCTGCAGAAGGACAATATATGATTGGGAACTCTTCCAGCAAAAACGCGGGAAGAAACGTTGGCATTTTCTGGCTTATCTACAGCAGTTCGTGAGTTAACCATTTGTCATAACAAACAATGAATCATTTTCAGGATTTTTGAATAATTGTATCTAGATAAACTCAAATTAGAATCTTGAAAAAAATCCTAACCAACAAAAATAAAGTTTACCAAACTATTTTTCAACAGGAGCATGATGGGGAACACATTTGTTTATTTTACCTTCCATGATAAAATACACATTGATCAAGTGACAAGAAGAACTGCCATTTATATTTTAACAGTTATCAATATCATAGCTATTGTTGCATTCTGCCTGTTGCCAAAGCCGTTGTATGAACTCAAATCGAATGACTACGGTCCTTTCAAGACAATGAAGCAGAGTTGGAAAATATTGACGTCCTCCAGAATGATATGGCTTGTAATTACTTTCTGTTACACAGGTGAGAAAGTTTTAAACAATTTTCACTCGATTCATATCAGAGTTTCAGCTGAAGTTGAGAACTTAGGAGTATAACTAAGATTAACTACTTTTAAAAAGATGGATCAGTCTAATTTGCCATTAAAATGAGAAACTTATGCAGGTATATATATGAATTTTACTGTATCATGAGTAATCATCAACTCAAAATATAACGCTTTTATATTTTATGTACATTTTATATTTATTTATACTGTCTTGTTTCTGCTTTGTTATTGGTCTATTTATTTGTTTGATAGTTTAGTTATTGTTATTGACAAAAGTTGTTCTGAAAAGCAGTAGGTAGTATTGAAAAATGCTTGATAAATAAAAGATATTTGTGTTTATTTATTTATTATTTATTTTATTTACTATTTAATTGAGTTTTAGTTTTGTATTTTTAGATGACAAGAACATGCATAAAACCATTGACTATTGGATATAGAAACAGTTGTTGTATTAATAGTCAATGATAAAACCTAATATCATAACAATGAGCATTATATTAGTTTGGGTTTAATACAAATTGTTTACAGAAAATTGGTTACCGTACAAAAGACCTGACTTCATCAAACACATAAACTTTGTAAAAATCTCGTTAAACCATGTCAAACTATTAAAATTACCTTTTTCAATAGGTTTAGAACTGTCTTTTTGGAACGGAATCTACAGTCCTAGTATTGGCTTTACTTTGGCTTTTGGAAACTCTGCCAAAGAATTGGTTGCACTTAGTGGAATCTTTATTAGCATTGGTGCTGTATTGGGTGAGTGGACATTACAACTTGATGGATAAGGTGCTAAACCACATTTATTTGACTTATTTTGTTCCCTATCACTGTAGTATCATTCTAAAAGTTAACCAAGAAGCTGTAATCCGTTCTCGCTGACAAATAAAAAATAAAGAATAATCAGTTTAGTTCTTACAACTTACAGTAGAAATTGTCTAAATTGAACTATGTTCTTGCATACGGTATAGAATTTTACATAGGAGTTCATAGATTACTTTGACTTACTTTAATCATGTCCGCCAACTAGCAATGAGCTTCAATAGTGGTTGACAACTTGGATATAGCCAACGTATAGACCACAGAAATCTAATAACACATTTTTCACTTGGTTAAAGGATAAATTTTTACTTTCTCCCCTTACATAAATATATGGAGAAAGTATTATTTTTGTCAAAATTTTTGAGTTTGAGTGGATATATTTATTTTGGGTCCTCCAAACGCCAAAAAAGTGTTTTTTTTTTTTAAGTGAGGTCTGTTTGTGTGTGTGTGTGTGTGTGTCTGTATTTGTGAATGTTCACCACACTTGTAGTCCAATTTTGATTAAATTTGGTATGTAAGTACTAATCCATGGTATCTTCGGAATTTTTTTAAATTTTGATTTTTAATGGTTATTTTCCAATAAAACCCATAAAATGATGGAAAAATCTAATTTTCTCAAAAATGGTCTGAACGTTTTTGACAAAAAATTAGCATGTGTCCCTTGCCCCCCCTTTGTTATTGTCACTTGTGTGGGGTCTTTGTGACCCTTTAGATTATGGACAACATAGTACAAGCCCCAATTTCGTAAAAAATACGGTTCAATAGTTATTGTAAATTATGTTATTTATGCTATTTCTAAGTTCATCAGCATATAAGCAAAGCTTGCTAAAATAACTGCTAAAATAACTTATTTAGCTTGCTAAATAACCTTAACTGATTTGCGGAAAATTTCTCAAATAAAAGATTAATAAAAGAGGGCCTAGGATTGATTCTTGGGGCACCCCATAATTTACTCACCGAGTACAAGAATTGTAAGCAGTTTTGTAACTTTTATTATTACAGTAAATCAGTTCTATGTTTTTTTTTTCTAACTAAAAGACGTGACTTACCCAGTTCAATGCCGTACTATTTAGTCCAGTTCTACTGAGCTATGAAAGTAACAACTCATGAGAAATGGAATCAAAAGCTTTACTGAGGTCCTTGAACAATTCTACTACTTTAGATTTACTTTCTGAACTACATAAAAAATATACCCCGCCACAGCAAACCTGACGACTAAGCCAATTTCCATTTGTCTGAATTGATTTTCAATTAAATCTATTTGACTATAATATTGTGGTATAATTACCTCGTCAAGTAATCCAAATGATGTGTTAGGCTAAAAACCTACATGTTTCGCCGTTAATACGGCATCGTCAGGGTACAAACACAGTAAGACATTGCTGTCACACGCATACAATAAATAAATAACACGAAACGAATTACGAACATAACATTTAGATAGGCCTATCACACGACGCGGACGGTCCCGGCGCAGGTAGTAGACTGCAGCGTCAGACTCCTTGCTCATTGTTGTCCACGTTATCACACATCATTTGGATTACTTGACGAGGTAATTATACCACAATATTATAGTCATTTATAGTAATCCAGGGGCCATCAACATGGAATTTAAATCTATTTAATTATTTTATTAGGTTTAATACTTTATACTTTGATACTTTCCGATGAAATGGCGACCATACAAAGTATGTATTTTAAGCCAAGTATGAATGGAGATGAGTGTAGGATGAGTGGCGCGATCTTGTAGTCTTGTTAGTGACTAAGGCCGACATATTCCTTAGACACAGCTTTTAATTAATAGCCCCATACAGCTAATGGCAACTAAGGGACCTACAGTTTATAGTGGAATCCGAACCACAGTTTTGCCTTGGTATATACAAATTGGTCTAATTATCAGGATAGTACTGCGGATAGTGGTAGTACTCACTCGTGCCGACGTTAATCCACACCAGTGGGTATCGCATCCACAGTGAATGCCTATAAATATCCACAATTTGTGACCTCCTAGTAGCTGGATTACAGGAGAACGCCACCCGGCCAAGTCGTATTTTTGTTACCTATGTATTTTTTTTTTGTTACCTAGGTTTAACGAGTACCTAGGCTTGCTGCTACATGAAAACTAATGAAGTGTGTTTTTTTTTAGTAAAATATCAATAGCTTGGTATAAAATAAATAAATTTATTTGCCAAGTGTTATCAAAATATATCCATAAACAAGCAAACTACAACATTTTACAATATTCATAGGAGTTTTAAATTTAAAAGTTTTTGAATTTTCTTTGTATATACTAAATTATTTGTTTTTTAAGGTCTCTAAAAATGTCTAGAGATAAATTGGAAAATGTTGTGTTGTGAGGATCATAAATGAGAAAAACAATTTTTTACCCCATAAAACCCCGTTCCCATGGTCCGATCATGCTGGTTCGGAAACTAATTCAAGTTTATCCGCATTACACCTTTAAATAAAATTTCATGAAAATCTGACAAAAATTTCTCAAGTTATCGCGTTCTGGGATATAGGAAGCAGATATTTACATTATACCTTATACGACTTTTATAGTGTTTTAAAATTGATTAAATAGGTTTTTAATTAGTAAAACATAGTTTATGCATGACTGTTTTCTCCCAGGTGGACTGTGTCAGACTCTGCTGTCAAATAGGTTGGCGAGGTACACTTGGGCTCGGAGGATGGTTGTGTTGTTTGGAGCTTTGGCTCAAGGAGTGACATATCTCATAACCTTCCTCAACCTCCCAGACATGGCTGTGTTTGGTGACACGGAAGACGTCAGCATTATTAACCCTCCAAGGTGAATACAGCTAGGCCTATCTGGGACACTGCAAGGTGGCTTGACAATTAAGGTCAGTTTTACTAGTTGCCGAATTCAACACTGTATCTGGCAGCGGATGGCAAAATAGGCGACTGCCCCATACCATTCAGTTGTGCACCCTAAATTGGCATAGGCGAGCTCCTCGAATATTTTTGACAGTTTGCTATGCAGAAATGAATTGTATCAGATTTAAGTTGTGACAGGTCTTTGTATTAACAACTTCAATTGGCTTAAAAATTTCAGTTCAGTTAGGCTAGTTGAAGTTCTGAAATATAAAATTCAGTAAATTACACTAAAAAAACAATTTTAAACTGGTTTTCTTCTAATTTAGCAATATTACAAGAGTGGACAAGTGTTAAAATATAATCACTATTTTTTCAGTGCTGCCCTTGCCTTACTGGGCAGTTTCCTCATCAACTTCGGAGATGCTTGTATATCGACCCAGATTTACACTTTTATCGGAGACCATTACAGAGACAACATAGCTGAGTCCGTAGCCCTGTTCGCTTTTTTTAGGGTTTGTAGTAGAGTTAATCAGAAAAATCCTCCAGTAAAATCAAAATATTAAAGAGTGTAAGCAAAAATCATATTTACTGTATTTGAAAGGAAAGCCAAGTGGCAGATTAGGCTTTTTCGTGAAGGCCAAGAAGGGATAGAGATACCTGAGAAAGTTACAGTCCAGGCATGTGCTTACTTTTTCCTTTGCATATTTTTTTCTGTGACTTGGTCGGTGTAAATTAACGTAATTAAACTAGAGCATTTTCATTTCAATCGGCAAGTGTGGAAGTAATTTAGATGCTCGTTCAACAATGTTGTCTAAGAGGAAACTGGCTACATCTGATCCATATAGAATATTTAGATGTTTAGATAGGATAGATAGATAAAGTTTACCTCAGCATCCAAGTTAATGGTGTGATGCAGGTTATATTCCATCAAATCTGTTATTGCTTACAGAGTGTATTGGTAGCAGCAAGTTTCTACTGGTGCAGTCATGTTGGTCTACACACTCAAGTCGCGGTGACTGCCACAGTCGCTGTGTTCGGAGTTCTGGCGTTCTTTGTGGCAGACAGAGATGCTTCACAGCCGCTTGTTCAATTGGAAGTGAAAAATGTGTCAAATATGACTAATGTTGATAGTTAACGTTTTTACATTTTTATTGTGTTTATACTACCCTATGTTTTATACTGCCAGGAAACACTAACCAGCTAAAAACCTGTGGATCAAACATCCCTCATAAAGTTTTCATTTGTATGAAAGATTTATCAATAAAAATAAACACAACTTGTTTTGCACTTGATTGTGAGTAGACTACTGCAAACTTAAATAAACCATAATTACAGAGGCATAATTTAAAGTTATAATCTTACAGTACTAAAATTATAAATGTGAAAGTTTGCGTGTTTGTTTGTTTGAAGTTCAGTCATGCATTAACTACTGGTTGGATTGGGTTGAAATTTGGAATGGTGATAGCTCACATTCCCGATTAACAAATAGACGTATTCTTATCTCAAAAATCCTTTCGGGCGTTGCCCTAGTAGCTCTAGAGTTTCCCATGTTAACCTTATGAGTATTCATAGTTAAAAGGAATTAGCTGTTACTCATGGGCTTCACCCCGCTTGTCTTCATAAGTATTAATAATACCCCCTGCCACAGCAAACCTACAGACTAAGCAAATTTTCATTTGCCCGAATTGAACGAGTACCTAGGTTTGCTGCTACAGGGAGGCTAATAAAGTGTGGTTTTTAGTAAAATATTAGTAGCTTACTATAAAATAAATAAATTTGCCAAGTTTGATAAAAATATTTCCATAAACAAGCAAACTACAACATTTTACAATATTCTCCATACAAATAACATGGGAATTTTAAATTAGCAATTTTTTTATTTTCTCTGTAACCAATAACCATACAATAACACTTTGGTATATTCAATTATTTGTTTTTTTAAAGCTCTTTATGATCTAGAGATAAATTGGGAATTTTTTTGTTTTGAGGGTCAAAAATGAGAAACCCCATTTTTTACCCCATAAAACTCCTTGTAAATCCCCCGTATAAGATTCCCCCAAGCAATTCCTAATTTATAGCCGTGAGAAAATACTGAATTAGAGATATTTTTGCTAAATTTTGTACAACTAAATCTAGAATACTACTGGACTGATTTTGTTGATCAAGAAGGGTCGTTGGAAAGCCTAATTTGTGTAGATTTGCAAATAATTATGAAAGTTAGGTTTTATTTAATACTAGCAGTTACCCAGCGTGCGTTGCTGCGCTAAAAAAATACATCTGTCTGTGTGAAAAGCATGTTTTCTACATTTAAACCGACGATAGTCAGGGATCGCCCTAGTGCCTTATAATGGTGATTGCGAAAGCAAAACACTAAGGAAATTGTAGTTGCTTAAATTCAGAGGGTAATTCGGATGAAATTATCAGTATTCTTATGATTAAGACTTTTTCTCCCTTAAACCTACCACTGATAATCTATACTATTATAAAAAAGAGGTGGTTGCTGTATGTGTGTATGGGAAAAGTAAACTCGAAAAATACTGGTCGGATTGGGCTGAAATTTGGCATGATGATAGCTCACATTCCCGATTAACATATAGGCATATTCTTATTTCAAAAATCCTTTCGGGCTCCGCCCCAGTGGCTCTGGAGTTTCCCATGTTAACCTTATGAGAAATGGAATTATTGAATCTTAACAGCTGTTTCAATTAAACAAGTTGGTTCTGTTCTATGATGTTCAATAGCATAAAAGTTACAAGGATTACCAACAGGGTGCAGCACTATTATTTCTTTTACATTTATGACAACAGCTAATTTGCAACCAAAAGGTGAGTGAGCGTAGCGAACGAACTTCAACCTGGAGGCGAGTTAGCGTAGCGAACGAGCTAACCTGAAGGCAAGTGAGCGCAGCGAACGAGCTCCAACCCAAAGGTGAGTGAGCGTAGCGAACGAGCTCCAACCTAAAGGTGAGTGAGCGTAGCGAACGAGCTCCAACCTAAAGGTGAGTGAGCGTAGCGAACAAACTTCAACCAGGACGTGATTGAGCCATGGGAACGAGATAATCTTGAAAATTAAGAAGTTAAGCGGGGCAAAGCCCGCGGGTTACAGCTAGTTGATAATAAAATTGTTTGAATTGAATTGTGTACCTGGATTCCTACTGTGAGACAGGCCTCTCCTCTACTCTTCTCATAAGTATAATATTTCCTATTGATTGTCTCCTCCTCCAGTTTTCAATATTTCTCCTTAAAATTCAAGACATTTTCTGTTCTTCCTACAAAACTGATTAACTGTTTGGATTTGTTTATACGCTTTTTAATATTACAAACATCAATATTTACTCCCAAAAAGCTGGTGAGTTTATTTTTATTTACAGCTGTCTTTGCTTTTAAATTTGTTTTCAATGTAATTCTTAAGGGGAAAATGCTAACTTTGAGAGCGTCTCGTGCCCTTAAGGATATGATATTTTAAATTCTAAAACCTTTATGCAAAACTACGAATTGAGACAAATTATTTGACACCTCAAACGTTAAAATCGGTCCAGAAATAACGGAGAAGTTTTGTTCACAAAAAACAGCCCTCACGTATTAATATAAGAGATTGTATTACAAAATTATTGTATAGAACCATAGACTGATACTAAAGATGAACTCATTACAGTACATTAGTTAGTACGCAATGAACCCAATTTGATTAAGCTGGCAGCAAACAGCTGTTTTCTGGACTAAATCCTTGCATGGGAAGTTCGTCAAAATAGTGTAGTGTGGCGTAAACATATTTTTGTATAAAAAACAAAATGGCGGATAACTGGGTGAATATGCATTTTCGGACATACCTTCACGTAAACTTCTTTCTTCCTTTTAGTATGAGGATGAGGATTCATTTCCGTCCTGAAACGTTTTTTATGGACACCCTGTGCTGTATATGGATTAAAGAATTTTGTCAGCTGTTTAAACTACACAAGTTGGTTCATCTTTAGTATCCAATAGTGGCTTGTAGGGACATAAGTCCCTAAAAAGCGCAATAATGTAAAACAAATTATTCTAATATCCAAACAAACTCAGAAATATATTATCTATGTGTCAGAATTGATATCCCTGTACACCATATCTTTTGTGTAAAAACAGTTTGTTGTTTGTCTTTGTTGATGTTATTTTCAATAAATCATTTGAATCATCACTACGTAGGTTTAACTCTGTTAAAGGCAGCAAACATATAATCATTGTGAATAAATACTGGTTTATTAAGGTAGTTTTGGTCTTGTGGTCAATGGTAATAAAAAAGACTTCTCTGATTGGAATTTAGGAAATTGTCTTCGTCAAATATGAAAAGGCAAATAAAGGTGTGAAGAGGTAAGCTTAGTTCTTGGCTAAACCCGCTAAATTAGCATCCCTACCCAGTTAATATTTCTAAGTTTATACTCCTTACTATACTATACTATAGTATACCGTAAATTAAAAGAACCAAATTTTCTTAAACCGCGTCCTCTGCAAAGCAATAAGCATTTTATGCCCAAACGCCAACCCTGCACGAAGGATGGGTACTCTGCTAGTTTGAAATAAATACGAAACTAGCTGTTTTCCCTGCTCTTTGCTTGCGTAGCTTTTTTTACGGTACATAAAGGAAAACAGGTAAACCCTATAATAACTTCTGTGTATAGTTTGATCGATAGTTGAATGGTGTTTCCTTTGAACTATATTTAGGTTGTATATTCGTTTATTTTGAACATATGCTATGATTCTTTGTTTAAATTTACGTTGTTATTTCATAACCGTCATCATCATAGCAACCCATAAGCTGAATGTTAAAACTGTACATTATCAATTGAAATTTTTTTCTTCACAAACATTTCCCACTCTTAATCGAAATAAGCTTGGTGAAATTGGCTATACAGTAGACTCCCTCTTATCCGGGCACCTTTTAACCGGACATTGGTTTAACCGGACTACACTCGGTAGAAGTGACATCTCTTTATCCGGATAATTTTTATCAGCACATCGGTTTAACCGGACTAGATCGGCAGGAAGTGCGCGGTTCTGAAACGTCTGTTCTCGTGGGAAAGATTTGAGACCAGTGATTACGTGTCTAAATAAAATGCTCTCCTAATTTTGAGTCAAATGCTTTATAGAGTATGCATTTAAACGGTCCGTTTTAATAAGATTTTGGGGACGTCGGTTTAATTAGAAAAACCGTTATCCGGACTGGCCTCGAAGCCGAGGAGTCCGGATAAGAGGGAGTCTACTGTAATGTGTTCAGTTGTTATTGCATAATGGTGTAATAACATTTGCATCAAGGTTGATCACAAATTGATTGTGGTGGGGAAAAGTTTTTAATGTGCATCCTGCTCACCATTCTAAATGACTCGATCCATACTTAACCATAAACCGAATATTAATGTTGCCACTGCTTGAGCTTGATTGAATTGGTGCAGACCCAGTCCTTGGGAACTTTAGCCATGAGCCAAGAGGACATTTGTGCTGAAATGCTTCAGAGCTCGTTGAGACTGAGTTGCTCAATGAACTGTAGCATCTTACTATGAGCTCTTCCTGAGGCAAGTGTCCCCACTCCCAGAGGGTACCAGAGTGCTTTCACTAACCTTGTTTAGAGCTCAGTCATCCAGTAGCTCTGCAGTCAGCTTAAGATTATTACTCGACAAAAGGTCACTATTCAATAAAAATTTACAAAAGATGTAAATAAAATCAAACTTTACTGTACAGTTGGAAAAAAATTGAAAGTTACACATTTAAAGCTAACACAATACCTAAAAAAACTGTGTATTCTTGGTAGCGGGAATCTGTCGTATCTTGGACACGGTTTTGTCACCAGTTTTGATGTCACCGATGTACACAGTTTTGCGCTCCTTGCCTCCCTTTCCTCCCTTGCTGATGTATATCTTGGTGCACTTGAGGGGTGGTGCCTTGTTGGCTAACACCAGCCTGACTGGCTGAGTGGTAGCCGGAGGAGGGGGCAGCAACTCGTCTGCTTGATCCCCCAGGATAACTGGCATGTCCAGGATGTTCAACTCGTCCAGCAAAGGTGGCTCCGATACATTCTGTACTGTCAAGTCCTTGGAACCTACAAACATAATTGTAACCTAGTTTCTCATTATTTCTCACATGTACATCTGATATTTGAAAGGGAAAGGGACACTTTGTGTAATAGATAATAGGCAAGTAGTGATAGATGAAATCAGAAATTTAAAATCACTAAAAGGAAACAAAAGATGTCCAGAATCTTGAATCTCAAACCTAATCGCGATACTTTTTACTTACCTGATTAGGATTACAAAAATGTTTGACATGCAATCATAACTGAAAGAAATTGACCTTCACATAGTACAACATGGTAAACACCGTTTCGACAAAAAAACATTATTTTTA